GGCCCTGAGTTTAAATCCCAGTACCACTAAAAAAAAGTTCCAAAATAAGTAAATAATTGCTAAATTGTTTATAATAAGTTGTGGTAGTAAAGACAGGTACAGGTGTTGTGACACCTGTATAACTCAGACCCTTTGCCTCTTCAAGCAGATACTGTGAAAGGAATTGACTTAAGAAGACTTCCAGTCTATTTGTTATTTCTTCAGTTTCACTTTTCCCCTTCTACTAAAAGTTTCCTTCAACCTTTGCTTTGTTTCCTTTGCTCCTCTTCTGCCTTTCATATCCACAATGACCTACATCTGGCTTCTTGTAGGTTAAGCCTCCTTAATACTTTTGCCATCTGTTCTTTTTGCTCTGAAACACAAGATTTCCTCCTCTGACAGTTTTCATCAAACTACTATTTGTATAGTCTGCAAAGAGCTTTTTGGCTAGTAAGTCTTACAATTCATTATTACAGGTTATTTTCCTATTATAGCAGAGATTGATTTTTTTTTTTTTTTGCACCATCACTGGAGCTTGAACTCAGGACCTACACCTTTAACCACTCCACCAGCCCTTTTTTGTGATGGGTTTTTCAAGATAGGGCCTAGTGAACTATTTGCCCCAGCTGGCTTCAAATCACAATCCTTCTGATCTCTGCCTCCTGAGTAGCTAGAATTACAGGCATAAGTCACCTCAGGAAGACTGAGGTTTGAAGCCAGCCCAGGCAAACAGTTCTTGAGACCCTATCTCTAAAAAACCCATCACAAACAAGGGCTGGTAGAGTGGTTCAAGGTATAGGCCCTGAGTTCAAAGCCCAGTACCACAAAAAAAAATTAAAAAAGGAATTCCAGTTTAAAGGATGTGAATTAATATTTTTATCTGTGAAATAGGTATTTAAAAAAGAAAAGGTACAATAGAGCATCAGGGGCTGACACCTGTAATCGAGCTACATGGGAGGCTAAAATAGGGAGGATTACAATTCAAAGTGAGCTTGGGCAAATAGTTTTTGAGACCCTATCTCAAAAAAAAAAAAAAACCCTTCACTGAAAAAAGAAAAAGGGTTGATGGAGTGACTGAAGGTGTAGGCCCTGAGTTTAAACCCCAGTACTGCAAAAAAAAAAAAAAAAAAAAGGGACTGGAAGTGTGGTTCAAGCAGTAGAGCGTGCTTTGCAAAAAAAGAAAAAATAAAGGCTAAGGTAGAACATTTAATGTTTTGTGTATTCTATCACAATTTTTAAATGTTTTTAAATTAAATTTGAAAACGATAAACTTATTTTTATTTTAAATATGTCTGCTTAAGTACTTAAGTGCTTAAGTAGTTCTATTTGGATGGTAAGATTACAAATACATTTCAGCAGGTGCTCTACTGCTAGAGCCATGCGTCTAGCCCCACTTTTTTATCTTGTCTGTCCAAACCCATTGTGAACATACATTAATTTGTAATCAGAAAAATGTTATAAAAATCTCTAAATCCTATTTGGTGACTGAAATTCCTTTAACACGGAACTCAGCCTAACTTTTCACATTTAGAGTAGTATTTTTAAGCCTAGTTAAAAAATATTACATGGTCTGAATCCATTTTTTTCTTTTTTGGTTTCTGGTGGCACTGGGGTTTGAACTCAGGGCCTTGTGCTTGCTAGGTAGGTGCTCTACCACTTGAGCTACTCTGTCACTTGAGCCACTCTGTCAGCCCCTTGACCATATTCTTTCCTGGCCAAGATTCTGTCCCAGTGGACGAAGTGTGCACATGGATCCCACCAATGGGATCTCCGAAAGAGATCTCAGGGCTCCAGGAAGATTCCCACTGTCGTTGCCTTTCATCAAGAGATTTAAAAATCACTCTCCCAGCACCAAAAAAATCTCTGTTAATCTCCAATCGGACAAATGTATTTTGAAGCTTTTGTTTTAGTGGAGCAGTTGGTATGTAAAGGGATATAGCAGCAGTTGTTTCATCCAGCACAACATAGAGAAATCACAGCCTTCACTCTCTGATGCACCAAGAGTTAACAGCTAACAGGCCTGGATTAGTTCCACCTTTAACAAGCCGGGGGACAAGAGGATTACCACCTGGAGTGTTAGAGGACACTGAAACATTCAGAGAAAAGCACTAGAGAGAGCTGTCTTGGGGAATCCAGAAACGTAAGTGTATATCTAATACATAATTACCCTGGGATGTTTTTGAGAAGAGCAAAATAAATCTTCATTTTGTATTGTAACACCCATCTCCCAGGCATCCAGGCACAAGCTACTAAGTCATTTTTAATCCTGTCATCTTTTTAGCTGTGTTGTCTTTTTTTTTTTATCATGCCTGGCTCTTCTTTTTAATTATTTTTTTCTTTTTAATTAATTAAAAACTGTGTATATTTATTGTTTATCATATGTTGTTTTGACGTATATATAAATTGTGGAATGGCTAAATTAAGCTAATTAACACATGTATCACCTCACATACTTACTTTCTTTTGTCTGTAAGAATACTTAAAATCTACTCTCTGAGCAATTTTTAGGAACCCAATACTGGGCTGGCAGAGTGGCTCAAGTGGTAGAGTGCCTGTCTAGCAAGTGTGAGGCCCTGAGTTCAAACCCCAGTACCAACAAAACAAAACAAAAAAGAACCCAATACTAAAGTTATTATTAACCAGGTGCTCATGACTCATGCCTATAATCCTAGCTACTCAGCTACTCAGTAGAGATCAGGAGGATCTTGGTTAGAAGCCAGCCCCAGACAAATATTTTCCAAGACCCTATCTTGAAAATACCCAACACAAAAAAGGACTGGCAGTAGACCACCTGCCTAGCAAATGTGAGGACCTGAGTTCAAACCTCAGTACTGTGAAAAAAAAAAATATGTCATTGGAAAGATACTGTTCACTTGCTGTGATTTTTAAAAATGAAACACAGTATGAATGACCCAATTCAAGTGAAATTATCTGGAAAGTAGATCAAATGTTAATCTTCTCCCCGTAACAGAATTTCTCCATCCTGCTTTTCACCTTCTTTATATTTCTCTGTTCAAAATAAGCTTGTGAAAATGCTTCTTCAGTTGACAAGTCAAATTAGCTTCAGCACAAAGGGGAAATTTGTTGTACGGTATACAGAACTTTCTTATAAAATCTAAGGGTGGAAAAAGAGTCAGGCCTTGGAAATGACTAGGCACAGAAGGCTTTCAGGACATTTTGACACATCTCAGCCCCTCAGTGTCATCCTCTCTCTTGATCTGTTCATTCATCATTTCATCAATTGGTATATATTCATATATTTTGGGTGCTTACTACATTTTAGGAACTGTTCTATAAACTTTACTGAATAAACAATTCTTTTTAAAAAATTGAATTATTAAAAAACAACAAGAGGATTGGAAGTGTGGTTCAAGTGTTAGTGCACCTGCTTTGCCAGCTCAAAGCCCTGAGTTCAAAACTCAGTCCCATCAAAAAAAAAAAAAAGAAATAATCAATGCTCTGCCTTCAAAATCTTTATGTGTTAATGAGGGGGATAACAACAAAGAAATATAAAGAAATGAAAATAGTTCTTGGCTATTGTGAGTGTTATAGCTGGGGAAGTGCTCACTGCAGCTGTCAAGGTCAGAGAAGTCTCTTGCCAGATGAAAAGTTGTGGAGAGGCTGAAGGATGAGAAATAGCCAGCTACATAAAGAGCAAGGAAAGGCATTCCAGGGAGGTACAAAGGCCCCAGACACGAAGGATTGGCAGAAAGGAGGCCAGGAATGAGGAGTGCAGTGAGCTAAATGAGGGGAGGTACTCCAGCTAGATGACTGGAGAATTAAAAAGGGGGTCAGGTGGTAAAGGGCTTTATGGGCCTATAACTTAAAAAGTTTAGATTTCATCCTAAATGTAATGAAAGGCCTTTTTGGGTACTTTTAAGCAGGAAATGTTACAGGCTGGGTTATTTTATAAAAGTCACTCAGGATGTTTCAGGGGAATTGGTGGGAGCAAGAAATGGGGAGAGATTTGGAAAGCATTATGGTAGCTAAGGAAAGATACTCAAGGGGCTGGAACTACAGTGGTGGAGACAAACCTATTGGCTTAGGAAGAACCCAGAGAACCTGCTAATGGATGATGGGGAGGGAGGAATCAAGGCTTTAAGTTCTGATGCCATATATAGGAAAGACTGGGAAAGGATCAGGTCAGAAAGAGAAATCAAAATTGCTGTTGAGGAAGGTGGGTTTGAGGTACTTAGCAGGCTTTCAAGAAGAGCTGTTTAAAGGGCACAAGTACAAATCTCAAGGTTGAGGTTGGAGACGTGAATTTTGGAAGCAAGAACAGATTTGTACATAGTATTTAAAGCCAGGAGACAGGATACTACTGTCCAGAAAAAGAGTGTTAACCAAGGTGTGGGACTCTACATAGGATTCCCAGTTACTCAGGACACAATAAAATACAAGTATCCCAGACCTCTGAAGATTGCATAATAGTTATAGCCATTCATAGAGCTAAGAGTCTCACTACATAGCCCAGGCTGGCCTCAAACTCCTGATCCTTCTGTTTCAGTTTCCTTAGTGTTGGGATCACACCCAGTTAGTTTGACTCCCTTTTCAAGCATCCCAGGAGAAAGAATCTGACTGGTTCAGCTTGAGCCACTTAGTCTATTCCTGGTCTTGTCACAGTGACTGTAGGGACTGAATCATAAACCAGTTCCTGGAGAGTCAGCGCCTGTAAGTTGAGTGGAAAGAGGGTTAGAGGCCCATTTCTCAGCAAAAGGGGGTGGTCACTGGTTTCCAGGCTAAGCAGACATTTAAAAATTAGTCCAAAATGATAGGTATCAAATCTATAATCAGAAAAGTTGATTTTTATTTGAATGAAGTCACTATTACTCAATTCATGATCTTACTCTTATATTTGTACATGCCATTGCTAATATGTATATGACATGTCATATGTCATCACAAAAGTACTGAGAAACTCTTGCTGTAGCTTAAGTACAGCCTTCAGAAGATATCCTAAACTCACATCTAACTGGCTGTACTTTTCCTCTAGGGTCACTTCTAGCTTGAGAACAGAAACCATGTCACATCTGGTGGACCATACGTCAGGGGACCTGCCAGTTAGGGACATGGACTCAATCTCTATGCCGAAAGGTAAACCCAGTGCCTGGGGACAAATTCCTTTGAGAATATGAAAACAACTCTAGCTCTGTCATTTTAGGGCATCTTGCCAACCTTCGCAGTGACTGATTTGCTTTCTTTCAGCTCTTCTTCTTCAATCTTTTCAGCATTTTCTTCTTAAATTATTTGTCTATTTTTGCAAGAGTGAGCATGAGTTCAAACCTCATGCTCACTCTTGCAAAGCAGGAGCTCCACCACTTGACTCACTCCACCAGCCCTTTTTTGTGTTGTATATTTTCGAGAGAGGTTCTCATGATCTATTTGCCCAAGCTGGCCTCAAACCACAATCCTCCAAATCTCAGACTTCCAAGTAGTTAGGATTATAAATTGGAACCACCAGCGACAGGCTATTCTTAAATCTTACAATAAAATTTCTAGCAGGTGGGTTTAGGAGGTAAAGCTAACTACAACCCTGCCAGCACTACAGACACTATGACAAAAACCAAGAACAAGGAGTTACCAGCTTCCAAGCTCCGCTGCAGTGCTCTAGCTGTAGCCTTTCCTTTCTCTATAATAAATCCTACTTTATATATATAAAAAAAAACAAGAACAAAGTAGCATAATTCACTCATCTATGATTGGTCCTTCTGTACACTAAGCAGAGGTAGACAGTTTAAGATGAAAGGCCTTAGGCTTACCAGAGCTTCTTCCACATAGGCCTCAAGGTATTTTTGGCCAGGTGTGGTGATACATGCCTGTAATCCCAGCACTCTGGAGGCTGAGGCAGGAAGATCGAGAGTCCAAGACCAGCTTGGGGTCCATAGTCAGTTCCAGGCCAGCTTGCACTAGACAGCAAAACCCTGTCTCAAAAAGCCAAGGGCAGGACAGACGCTGGTGGCTCACACCTCTAATCCTAGCTACTCAGGAGGCAGAGATCAGGAGGATAGCAGTTCAAAGCCAGCCTGGGCAAATAGTTCTTGAGACCCTATTTTGAAAAAAAACTCAACAAAAAAAAGACTGGTGTGGTGACTCAAATGGTATAGTTGCTGTCTGGCAAGTGTGAGGCCCTGACTTCAAACCCCAGTACTGCCAAAACAAACAAGCAAAAAAACTTGCTCATGTTGTAATGTGTGAATACTTCACTCCTTTTTATTGCCAAATAATGTTCTTTAGAAAACATAAAGCCTCACTAAACAAGTTGCAAATTTTGTCTAAACTTTGGGTGTAGTGCAGTTTAGAATCAGTGAGCTGCCAGACCTCTGGACTATAGATAAACAGCTATCACCAACACCAGGACACACTCTATATGGACAGGACTGATAAGGCGTGCAATCAACATAGTGTCCAGTATGGCTATAGTTATGCAAAGATTTGATGTCTAGAGCAGCACGCTGGGGTCCCCACTTTTGGGTGCAACCAATCAGTAGAGGACTAAATGACATCAGAGGGGAACACCCTGGAGGAGAAAATCACATAAAAAGGACACCTGCTGAGGGCACAGCAGAGTGTGCTCTCCAATGTCCTCCAACGTGTGGTAGCATCAAGGGACTCTCTCCTGCATGCACCTCTCCTGGCCAATGGGACCCTCTCTCCCGAGTAAGAGAGGCCCTGCCTTGAACTCCTAGATTGAGCTCCCAGCACTCTCAGCCCAAACAGCTGACTGCTGACAGCTGGGCGGGGCTCCCTGTGGGGCACTTGCTTGGTGGGCTCCATCCTGTGGAGCACAAGGCTTGCCTGCCACAGTGCCTGCAAGGTGACTGTGATTCCCTCTTGGACCTTGTAAGTGTGCATTCGAAGTGTGAATAAATGTTGTCGCATTGACTCCAGTGTCTGAGTGGTCTTTGAGGGACATTGCTGTGGTTTCATTGCCTCTACCCTAAGTCTCCCTTGGGCCATATCCCAATCCCACCATAGGGATATTGATCCCGGTTCAGGACATCACTAACTCCCTCTAGAGGGAAGAAGGATGAAGTCCTGTTCAAGACAGTTCTCAAATGGGAAAACATTTTGTTTTTATATTCATCCCTTGATGGATTCTGGGTAGTGTTCACTTTTTGGCTGTTGCAAACAATGTTTCTATGCACACTCATACACAAGTCTTTGTGTGAACACGTTTCTCCTCCTATAACAAGAAGTCAATTTCTGGGTCATATGGTAATTCTGTGTTCATATTTTAAGGAACTGCCAGACTATTTTCCAAAACAATAGTACCTTTTCGCATTCCTATCAGTAATAAATGAGGGTTCTGATTTCTTCTTATTCTCATCAACAGTTATTATTGTTTATTATTGAAGTGTTTTCATTTGCATTTTCCTGATGAATAATCACATCATTTGTATGTTTTCATGTGTTTATTGGACATTAGTATTTTTTTTCCTTTGGAGAAGCATATGTTCAAGTCCTTTGCCAGTTTTTAATTGAGCTGTTTTTATACCGTTTGCTATAAAAGTCCTTTCTATGTTTTCTACACAATTGGGAATTTTTCTCAAAACTTTAACTGGTCTATGAAAAAAGTCCATGAAGCACGATGTGGCTGAGATGAGTTGGAGGAGTCGTAGAACTGGTGACAGGAAACCTTGGGAACCACCGGCCTGGAGAGTCCAGGCCCTTTAGCAGCCATGTACATCACCAAAATTCTAGACTGACTCAACAGTCTTCAACACAGTGAAAGGGTTATGGAAGAAGGTGCCAAAGACACACATTTCCACACATTTACTTTGTGGGAAAAGGAACCGTTCAGCTGGACTCTGGTGGCTCACATTTGTAATTCTGGCTATTCAGGAGGCAGAGATCAGGAGGATTGTGGTTCAAAGTCAGCCTGGACAAATAGTTTGATAAGCTCTATCTTGAAAACACCCAACATGAAAAAGGGCTGGTGAAGTAGCTCAAGTGATAGAGCGCCTACCGAGCAAACATGAGGCCCTGAGTTCAAACCCCAGTTCCCATTAAAAAAAAAAAAAAAAAGGGAATGTAGTTTAGCTTGGCCCAGTGGCTCATGTCTGTAAATGTAGTTCCATTTAAGGCTGAGATCAGTAAAAGCTCGGTTCTAAGCCAGTGTGGTTAAAATAATTTGTAAGACCTCATGTCCAAAATGGACTGGAAGTGTGGTTCAAGTGGTAGAGCATCTACTTTGCAAGAGTGAAGCCTTGAGTTCAAACCCCAGTACCACCAAAAAAAGAAAAAAAGGAGAGAGTAGTTTGCAGAGATGGTAATTTGCAGAGAGCTGGTGGAGTCATGGCTGTTGCTGGATGCTCTGAGGAAGCCCTAGGGGCCACCAGGGGTCAATTACATATACTTCAAGACTCAAGTTAGTTTCGGGCCTTCTGAAGAAGATGTGATGATCTGAGGGTTAAAGAAAAGGACGTGTAAAATATCCTCCACTTACTTCCTCCTGGGTCTTTAGGTAAGAGTAGCAAAACTCAGCCAGCCTTGGGCAGGATGAGTCGGGAGGACCTGGAGGACAGACTCTTTCGACTTGGAGACAAGCACAGTGTGGTGAAGGAGCATTGTTGGGAGCAACAGGATGAGATCAAAAGGTACCGAAAGTTCTCCTTCAAATTTTAAGAGCAAGTATAAGGTCCTGAGTTCAAACCCCACCACTGCAAAAAAAAAAAAAAAAAAAAAACCCAACTTCTTAGCCACTCACTGGAGACTCACATCTGTAATCCTAGCTACTCGGGAGGCAGAGATTTGAAGGCTCTTCCTTCAAGTCAGTCCACAAATAGAGACCCTATCTAGAAAAAAAAAAAAAAAACCCTGGTGAAGGCCCCGAGTTCAAACCCCAGTACTGCCAAATAATAATAACGATAATACTAGAGCACAGCAGATGGATTCCTGTCACAAACCGACTCGCGAGCCGTGGAAATAACTGTCAGAAGGGAGCGGCAGCGGGGCTGGGTGCAGCAGGTGTGGACGCTCACCCTGCACGCGCACGCGGGGAGCCTCGCGCCCGTCTCTCGGCAGGCTGAGGACGCCCCTGCAGCGGTGGACAGCGTGCGGGGACCTGCGGGCTGCGGCGCAGCGTCCCGAGTCGGCCAGGCGGAGGCGCCCCGCCCCGCCCCCGCGCGCCCCCGCGCCCCGGTGGCCCGCGCAGTCCCCGCCCGGAGGAGGAGGCCGGCCTGTCCCGCGCCGTGCCCAGCCTCGCGTCCACGCGGGACACGGACAGCGCCACACAGCCGGCGCGCGGATGCTGGAGAAACCCAAGAAGGGTGAGGCTTAGGACGGCGGCAGGACGAAAGACTGGGAGGGGTGGGTGCACCAGCAGGGTGTCCTCAGCCCAGCACCCCGTGCGTTTTGTTCTCACTCTCTCCTTTCGCCATGTGGGAGGTCAGATTCCCACGAGCTCCTGCCCAGCACACACTAGGCCCAGGGTCGGGTCCCCAGCACCACCACCATAGGACAAAATCCCCTCAGGTCCCCTGGAGTACCGCTGAGGCGACAATCACACAGTAGAAATGGGTTTGCGGGGTCAAGGGGATTCCGCAGGGGTCTAGAAAAGAGATCCAGGGAAAATATGGTGTTCCTGCTCAGGTGTGCACATATGAGGGGTTGCCCACTGTGTGTCAGGCTGTGTGGCTGGGGAGCCCGGACTTCCAGAATGGCTGGGCCTCTAAAGCTGGGGTTTTCAGCTTCTGGGAGAGTAGACTCCGTTGAAACCATGGTCAAATTCAAGGTGCTTTTCCCAAGAAAAATGCACGTGTACAAACGGCATATGATTTCCTGGCGTTCAGAGATTTCCAAAGCCCAGTCCTGAGGTCTAAGCCTAGAAAGCAGGCCACACACACCAATGTAGTGAGTTTCCCCTCTTCCAGTATTCCAAGTGGTGAGTTTGAGGCCCTCCTCCCACTGCAGTGAAACCCAATGCTGAATCTCTAGAGTAAAAACATGTGTCCCACAGACATAAATCAGGCATGAGAACCTACATGAGGAAATCCACATGCATCATTTTATTTAAACACTCTATTAATAAGTACTCATTTGTTTTGTTTAGTATGATCCTATACGTTCAAGCCCCATACCCCCTGGATAATCAAATAAAAAGAGATGAAATTTTCAGCAAAAGAGCTAAAAACTGAAAAACAGAATGACTCTAAGTTTGTATTTAGACTCTGATTCTGTATAACGATTCAGCATTAGTGGGAACCCATCAGGTACCAGGTAGCAAAGATAAAGATGCATTCCAGCTAAATGCACAGTGCTAAAAGCAGGCTTCCATCTTTCTGCTTCACTTATACTCACTTACTTTTTGTATGTCCTCTTGCTGCTTTAAGAAATCAATAGTTGCAGTTCTGCACAAGAGTAAGGAAGCCGGGAGAGGTAGAAGCCCAGTTATTTCTGAGGATTGCGGGAGAACCAAATTCCAGGCCAGCCTGTGCAACTCAGTGAGACTCCATCTCAAAATAAAAACTAAAAGGGCTTTGCCCTGGTTTCAAGGCTCCCCACGCCCAGCCCTTGGTGTTCCAGTTTCAGCATTTGCTGTTCTGGAGGGTACTGTTGCTGCAGTTTGCATCTTTTTCTGCCTGAACTTTCAGAACCAAGGGACGGGCTAAACTACACTGCTCCTCCCTCATTCAGGGAGCACGTGACAAATGAAAAAAACCAAGATGAAGTAACGAGTGAACCCATCGAACTGTGAGTCCTTCCTGTGCATCCTATGCTGGTGCTGCTGCAGCTTTAGCTGAAAATGCATCCTTAGGAAACAAGTGAGAGCTGGTGATTTCTAGCAGTCAGAAGATGAAAGTCACTCTAGTTCAGATTCCAACTTCGGTGTGTAAAAATGGAAAATAAACATCTGTCTTCTCTGTCCTCTGAGGAAAGGAAAATAAAGGACTTCTTTTCAGTTGAACATGCCTTTTTTTATCCCCTACATCATAATTTGTTTATATATCCATTTTATCTTTGAAGGCTTAATTTTGTAAGATTATCCTCCACATACACTAAGATCACTGACACCTCTCACTTTTTGTAAGTGGCCAGCCCAGTTCTAGTCTCCTACAATAACAGTTTCTACTTCTGTTTGTGCTTAATGATCCTAGTTCTGGCACTATAATTTCTCATAATGATGGCTAATCTCCTTGGTCTGTGTATGCCGAACAGCGCCCCCGTTAGGACCAACGATACCATGCAAGTGGCAGAACCTGAGAAAACAAGGAGCTCCCTGGAGTGTGCGCAGAGGGCCCAGGAGCTTCGGTGAGTCTAGCAGGCTGAGCCTCAGACTGCAGTGAACTGAGGAACAGGAAATTCTTGATTACACCTCCCCCATCTCAGAGGAGAGAACATTTAAGATTAGATCCAATCCGAGAAGTAGACTGGAGTCCCTAGTAGGTTGAGAAATGCATGAATCTTAAGGGGAGGCTGTGTACAGCACAAGATTTGCTACTTTGCATCATGGAAGAAAAAGTGTTTCATCCTCATCCATCACCAGATAGGATCTGTGCCCTCACTATGCATCAGTCCCCGGAGGACTTTCTTTGCAAAATCGACCTTAAAAAGGAGAATGTCATGGGTTGGTGGAGTGGCTCAAGTGGTAGAGTGCCTGCCTAGCTAGCAAGCGTGAGGCCCCGGGTTAAACCCCAGTACTGAAAAAAAAAAAAAAGATATTAAACTTTTTTTTGGAAAAAGAAAAGGTTTTATTTTTTAGAGCAGTTTTAGTTTTATTGCTTTTTTTCTTTTTTCAGTATTGGGGATTGAACGAGCCTCATGCTCGTTAGGCAAGTGCTCTACCACTTAGTCACTCCTTCAGCCTTCTCAGGAAGTATAGAGCGTTCCATTATTCCCATCTCCAGACAAGTACAGTCTCCCTAATACTGGAGCCTCCATTTCTGACAGGCCTCCATTAACATATTATTCTGACTCAAAGGCCGTAGTTTATGTTAGGACTCACTGTTGGTGGTGTTGAGTTTGGACAAATGTGTAATAATGTGTAGTATCACATGGAATCTGTTAATTACCCTAAAAATGCTCTGTGCTTTACTTATTCATTTCTCCTTCCCCAAGCCCCTGGCAACCATTGATCTCTTTACTGTCTCCACAGTTTTGCCTTTTTCCACAATATCATATAGCTACGACCATACATATAAAACCTTGCATGTTGGTTTCTTTCATTTAGGAATATGCATTTAAGATTCCTCCAGGTCTTTCCATGGCTTGATAGTTCATTTCTTGAGCACTGAATGACATTCCATTGTTGGATTGTCCTACAGTTTATTTCTCCATTCAGGTACTGAATGCTATTCTGGTTGCTTCCAAGTTTTGGCAGTTATGAATAAAAGTGCTACAACATTGTGGAGTACAATAAGTTTTCAATGTGGAGACCTTTTAAAACCACCAGCCTCTGGGCCCCACCTCCAAAGTCTTTTTTTTTTTTTTAACCAGTTGGGCATTATTTATTTATTTGGTGGCAGCACTGGGGTTTGAACTCAGGGCATTACGCTTGCTAGCGCCTAGTGGTAGGCGCTCTACCACTTGAGCCATTCCACCAGCCCCCAAAGTCTCTTTTAATTACTTGGGGATGGAGTCCAGGCAGTGTACCTTTTTTTTTTTGGTGGGGCTGGGGTTTGAACTCAGAACTTCATGCTTGCAAAGCAGGGACTCTACCACTTGAGTCATGCCTTCAGTCAGTTTTGCTGTGGTTATTTTGGAGATGGGGGTCTCTCACACTATTTGCCGCGGGCTGGCCTTGATTCAAGATTTTACTGATCTGAGCCTCTCCAGTAGCTAGGATTATAGGCATGAGCTACTGGTGCCCAGGTGGCAGTGTACTTTTAAAGATCGCTCCCAAGATTCCTGAGCAATTAGGACTAGGAGTCACAGAAATAGTGTGCAGTGAGCCCAAGTCCTTCCCTTTGTCTTTCAAATGATAAAGAACACAGAATCACAGACTGGACATGGTGGCTCATTCCTGAACTCCCTGCGGAGGCTGAGGCAGGAGGACCACAGTTTTGAGGCCAGCTTGAGATACATAGTGAGTTTGAGAGCAGATGGCATCCGTAGTGACTGAGACCCTGTCTCAAAACAAAACAGTAACAGCAACTTGGGAGCTGAGATCGGGAGAATCTCTATTTAAGCACAGCCCAGGCAAATAGTTGGAAAGGCCTCATCTCCAAAGTGAACAGAGCAAACTGGACTGAAGGTGTGGCTTAAGCAGGAGAGAGCCTGCTTTCCAAGTGCAAAGCCCTGAGTTCAAACTTCAGTCTCACCAAAAACCAAAACAAAACAATAACAAGAATAAATAAAAAACATGATCTCCCAGGTTCAGAAATAATAATCTCCCTTTGTTACATTCATGTCTCTTTGTTTTTTCTAGGAAAACAAGGCTTAGACTTAGTTGGACTTTGCAAGATTTATAAGAAACACAGTAATTGTAAACAAAGTTACTATGTTTTCTCAAAACACAGGGTTAAGGTTAGTGGTCACTAACTCTCAAATGGCATGAGAAGAAATAGAACAAAGGAGATTATTTACCAGACTGTACTCCCTACTTCTGGTGTCTTTTGGGGGACAACAGAAGGCAAGACACAAGAGAAAAATGTTCTTCTTGGCACAGTTGATGAGAAAAGATGCTTAACTCTGTCCACTCATATGGAAACTAGAACCTCCTTCTTTCCGTAGAGCCTCCATCAAGGAGAATGTGGAGCTGATTCGACTGAAGAGGCTCTTACATGAAAGGAATGCCTCCTTGGCAGCCACCAAAGCACAATTGGCTGAAGTTCAACAGGTGAGTTACTCCATCACCTGTGCTTTCTTGGAGGGAGGTGATCAGTTAGTTAAGAAATCTGTATCAGGGCAGGCGGAGTGGCTCAGGTGGTAGAATTCCTGCATAGCAAGCATGAGGCCTTGAATTCAAGCCCCAGTGTTCAAGCACTTCCTGCTACGGTGGACTTAAGTGCAGTTAACTTGTAGCAGGGTTAAGGCCCTGCCAAGGACCTTACTCCAGTATAATGGAGTTGGGCAGCTCTTGGCAGTTCCAGGGCAAGGTCAGGAAATCAGCCTTTATTGAGCATTTGTATGTGCTGGCAGACTCTGTCCTACATCCTTACAATCTGGATCTCATTTAACATTAAACAACCCTTGAGGTACGTACATATACAGACAAGGGACTCTACCCCAAACTTGACAAGCAACTTGCTCAAGTTGTAAAAATAGGAGGAGACACTGCAGGATTTGAGTCAGGAGAGCACCGGAGCTCTTTCCTCGTTATTACACATTAGAAGCTAATATCTCAGTGTAGAAATATGGTGTCAAAGCCAGGTGGCTCATGCCTGTAATCCCAGCTACTCACAAGGATTGCAGTTCAAAGCCAGCCCCTAGCAAATAGCTCTCAAGACCCTATCTCTAAAAAAAACCCATCACAAAACAGCTGTGGAGTGGCTCAAGCAGTATTGTACCTGCCTAGCAAGTGTGAGGTCCTGAGTTCAAACCTGAACTTGAAAATACCCAACACAATGCCTATCTCAAAAAAAAAAAAAAACCATCACACACACAAACACACACACACACACACACACACAAAGACTGGAGGAGTGGCTCAAGGTGTAGACCCTGAGTTCAAATCCCAGTACTGAAAAAAATTTAAGAAAATACCCAACACAAAAAAACGGCTGGCAGAGTGGCTGAAGTGGTGGCAAGAGTGAGGCTGTGAGTTCAAACCTCAATACGACCACTACCAAACAATAAAATAAAATAATACCATTACAGATGGAGATGTGGGTCAAGCAATAGAGTACCTGCCTAGTAAGCATGAAGCCCTGAGTTCAAATTCTGGTACTAAAAGGAAAAACATCCATTAAGATGGCCATAGTGGTTTAGGCCTGAAATCCCAGCACTCTGGAGGCTGAGGCAGGAGGATTGGGAGCCTGAGGTAAACCTGGCTACAAAGTAATACTCCGTCTAAAAAACAATTAAGTTTGAAGGTCTGATGCCAATTTATGTTGGAGCTTTGGTTTCAGCCTCTGAACAGCATAGTAGAATCTTAAGTGTACATCAGCTGTGAAGCACATGAGTGTTGATTGATTGCAACACTCTTTGATTTCAAGGTATATTATTGTAATATAGCAAATTGGGTCTTTAGTAGAAAGATTTTCTGCAATGTCCAAATACTCTTTCAAAGAAAAACAGGAATGCTGTTTTCTAAATTATTTATTTAGAAAAGAATGAATTCTTTGTAAATATTCTCTCATCTTAGTAATACATAAGTGATCTGTCATAACTTATTTTAAATTATGAAACAAGCCATATGAAGAGAGATTAAGCAGCTGGGAAACTCATATTTCAAGAAAATATAGAATTAGTTTTTCTTAGCTCAAATGCCAAAAACAATTGGAAAAAAAAATAAATAGTGTAGCTGGTGGCTTATGCCTGTAATCCTAGCTATATGGGAGGGTGAGATTGGGAGGATCAAGGTTTGAGTCCTGCCTGGACAAATAGCCCATTTCCAAAACGACCAGAGCAGAATGGACTACAGGTGTGGCTCAAGTAGTAAGAACTCCTGCTTTGCAAGCACAAAATCCTGAGTTCAAAACCCAGTTCCACAAAAAAATATTGTAAGAAAACTTTATAGAGGACCAATAATTATTATTATGGGTAGTAGGAATATAGATGACTGGTTTTTTAGGGGGGTGGGATTTTTTGGCACTGGGATTTGAACTTAATGCCTTGCACTTGCTAGGCAGGTGCTCTATCTTTTAAGCCACTCCACCAGCCCTCAGATGACTGTTTTTTAAGTCTTTATACCTTTCTGAAAACTTTAAACGTCTATTACAAAGTCACAAGGAAAGATCATTTTGGCAGAAGAATGAATGATAAGTTGACTGATACAGACTAGAAGAAAAGAAACCAGGTTGGAAGAAAGGAAGGGAAGGAAGGGGATTGGGGGGGGGGAGAGAGAGAGAGAGAGAGAGAGAGAGAGAGGAGAAAGGAAGGAAAGAAGAAAAAGAACAGAAGGAAGAAAGAAAAAGAAAGAAAAGAAAAAGAAAGGAGGGGGGGATGGCCCAAACAATATATGCACATATGAATAAATGAATAAAGAAAACCACTGCAGAGGTTCCAAGGAGCTAGAAGATGAGGGTCCCAAGGCGAGGAGAGACCCTGCAGAGAAGGGTGTCTTACTGTGGAAGGTTCTGGAAGCTGGGCTGGCACAGTGGCTCAAGTGGTGCAGAGTCTGCCTAATAAGCGTGAAGTACTGAGTACAAACCCCAGTACCTGCCCGCCCACCCCCACCCCGCCCCACCGCCACCAAAAAAAAGTGCAAGAAGTTGCAGAATGGGCTTTATTACGAAAGGGGAGAATAGAGAGGAAAAGAAATGAAAGGTGACTCCTGGATTCCTTGCTTGTTTTGGGGGGTAGTGAGGTTTGAACTCAAGGCTTCATGCTTGTTAGGCTGGTGTTCTGTCACTTGAGCTACCCCACCAGCCTGGATTCCTTGTTTAGTGAGGCGATGATGGTGGCGGCAGTCACTGAGGATGGAGGCCACGACAGTTTACTCTGATAAGAACTCCAGGATCTTTATGAGACCAGCCTCCAAACCTAGGGTTTATAGAGGACTCTGCACATTACTGTATTCTTTTAATCTGGTTCATGTTTTTAGCATTTAAAAGATGTGGAAATATGGGAAATAAGATCATTTAAAGTGATACTGTTAAAAAAAAGAGGGGCTGGAAGTGTAGCTCAGTGGTAGTACACTTTTCTAGCAGACAGAAGAAGGAAGGAAAGAAGGAGGAAGGGAGGAGGGAAGGAACAGGAAGGGAGGAAGCCATTCTACGTTAATTTCCTTGCCCTTCTTAATGGTGAGAAAGGCTAGCAGAAATGACCTGAAATCACCCACAACGTTTTAAATGTAGGTTCTACCTTGTTTTCCTTTAACGATTCATTCTGCACAGGATCAACAGCACTGACTGTGGAGCTGGATGGCTTGCTCCAGAGTTATGTGAGATACCTTAAATGACCATAATGTAGCAGGAACATGTGGCACACATAACTGCTCAACCAGCAATGACTGTCGTGATGACCATTTTTTCTCCTTCTAATACTGAAAAGGCACTTCTCTCTCTCTCTCTTTTTGGTATTGGTACTGGGGTTTGAACTCAGGGCCTCACTTTTGCTAGGTAGGCGCTCTATCACTTGAATTATACCTCCAGCCAAAAAAAGATTTTTCTGAAGCATGCTGAGTAATAGTACCTAGTTCAAGATTAAACTTTTTTCTTGGGTAAAAATTTACATCGTCCTTGATTCACCAAGAACAATACAAATGTGAATAAATTGTTTTCTGTGGGTTTTTTTTTTTAAGATGCTCAGGCTTGCCAGGTGCTAGTGGCTCACACCTGTAATCCTAGCTACTCAGGAGGCAGAGATCAGGATGATTGTAGTTCAAAGCCAGTCAGGGCAAATAGTTCTATGAGACCTTATCACAAAAAAAACCCTTCACAAAGATAGGACTGGTGGAGTGGCTCAAGGTGAAGGCCCTGAGTTCAAGCCTCAGTACCTCAAAAAAAAAAAAAAAAAAAGATGCTCAGGCTAGCCTTGGACTCCTGATCCTCCCTTCTCAGCCCCGAGTGCTGGAATTACAAGCATGCATCATGACACCTTTTCATTACTTTTTAAGAAATGGTTTGATTGATGATGTTCACAGACTATCTGGCAAGTCAGAGCAGGGGAAAAACCAGTCACAATTAATAAACATATACAAATTGGCTTCGTTTATAATGTTTTTCAAGATAAACATTTGTATTACACATAAATGTCAAATATATGAAATTGCTGAGCTGGTAAAATAATACTTATCTCTTTCTTTCAGGCTTATGAAACCATTTTCCAAAAGGTACTTAACAAAGATTCTTTGAATCTGTTAGTAATGAGTATAATCAAACCCAATGAAACCTGTGTTCATCTCCAGGTAGTATAACCTGATTGTATAATGTAGTTTCTATTAAGACAAATGATATTACTGCTACTACACATGATACTATTGCACTGTTTTCATTGTATTGAAATACAAGGCCTGAGTTGAGAAATGTTCGAGATGGTATTTTTTAGCCTATTGCTACAGCATTTGCTCAAAATTCCTGAAAGTATTCTTTCAGCATGTGTGAGGTGGTGAGATACAGCAAAGTTGTCACAGATACTCTGTTATTAAATATTTCGCCTCATTTACCCCTGTGAGTGGAGTGTCAGTGAAGCTGGGTGAATTCCATGACTGAGAGCCCCTGAGGCAGAGTTCCAAGCATGACCAGCCACAGCTTTCCAGAAACACACATACAACTTCTAGAGCTAGCTTGTCCCTTCCTAGGTACAAAGGGAGAACTGTATCATCCTAAAAACCAATTGGATAGCTTAGAAAGTTAGTGTAGCTTGGCAAAGTGGCACCTAAATTGGAGCTTAGTTTCCCCTGCCAGGGACACGACACTCAGCAGAGAACTGCTGAAGTTAAGGGAATGGCAGTATGTTACTTACTGAGGTCATTCTTTGTGACACTCCCCTGGGAGTGTGAGGAGAGCCCTTCTGCCGGGGAGTGGGGGGTTGGGGGGGTGGGTAGGATTGTTCCCAACACAACTTTCCTCTGGTCCAGAATCAGGGAATGCTGAGTACAGCCCACGACGCTCTCCTCAGCCAAGTGGATGAGCTCCGGGCAGAGCTGAAGGAGGAGAGCATGAAGGCTGTGAGCTTGAAGATCCAACTAGAAGAAGTGTCCATCCTGCAGATAACTCTGAAGGAGGTAAATAATAGTAGTGGAAAGATGTAGATCTGGTAGAGTGGCTCAAGTGATAGAGCACCTGCTTAACAAGCATGAGGCCCTGAGTTCAAACCCAGTGCCACAAAAAAAAAAAAAAAAAAGAAAAAGAAAGAAGCCACCCAATGTGCTACATTCCAAAGTCAGAGATGTTAAAATGGGCATCTGACCAGCAATGTGGTAAGGGTTCCACATGGTTCAATCTTTTGCTTAAAACTAATTCATCATTGATGGAAATTTTGCATTTTTTTTTTTTTGGTGGGACTGGGGTTTGAATTTAGGGTAGGCGCTCTACCACTTGAGTCACACCTCCAATGCATGGATTTTTAATGATGTCTGCTCTCTAAAGTTCTCACTTCTTCATAATGTTCTGCTGCTTTTCTAACAGCACAAACCCAGATATCATGAACCCTTGCTTCAAATAATTTTCATTAGCCAGGCATGCTGGTGCACGTGTGTAATCCCAGCTACTTGGGAGGCAGAGGCAGGAGGATCTAAGTTCAAACCTAGTCCCAGTAAAGTTAGCAAGATCCTGTCTCAAAACCAAAATACAAGCAAAAGTTCTGGGGGCATGGCTCAAGTGGTAGAGCACTTGCCTAGCACACAAAAGGCCCTAGGTTATAGCTCAAGTACCTCCCCAAAATAAAACAAAACAAAAACTCATTAGTTCTAATAAAAGTTTCTAGCCCACTTCAGTTGGTTCAAAGCTGTTTAGTTAAATGACTCCTCGTAGACATGGGAGATGAGCATGGGAAGCTCTCACCCAAGCTCCATCTTGCAATGCAAAAGGGAAAATATGTGCAGAGCCATACATTTTAAAGAAGTATCTTAATGACTCTACTGCAATTCTTAGTTTCAGGAGAGAGTTGAAGATTTGGAAAAAGAACGGAAATTGGTGAATGACAATTATGACAGACTCTTAGAAAAGTGAGTACCAAGTTGGGGTCCTGAAGCATTATCTTCTGTAAGAGAAAATTATAGAAAGTGCCTTCCAAATTTCAACATTGGGAAACTGGCAGTCAGTATTGCCAATGAGAAGATGAATTGGCACAGTCTCTCTGACACTATCTATTAAAATGTCAACTAAGCATAGCTTTTGTACCAGCAATTCCATTTTTTTTGGGGGGGATCAAAATTGGTCCAATCCTCTTGTACACAGACATTTTATGATAAAGATGTTGGGCAGGTGGAGTGGCTCAAGTGAGAGAGCACCTCCCTAACAAGCATGAGGCCCTGAGTTCAAACTCCAGTGCCACCAAAAAAATGTTAATTATTGTTAGTGGTAGTAAAAAAAAAATTTGTAAGCCACCCAAACTTCCACCAGTGGGAATTAGCTGAATAAATCATGTTGCACCAGCACAATGAAGTGCTATATAGCTATGAAGAATGAGGTAGACACTATGCTCCTTTGTGTAGCCGCCCACCATTGTCTCCCCTTTTAATAGTGTCGTAATAAATCTTTACTTTCTCCTAAAAAAAAAAAGTGTCTGGGCACCAGTGGCTCATACCTGTTAATCCTAGCTACTCAGGAGGCAGCCATCAGGAAGACTGAGGTTTGAAACCAGCCCAGGCAAACAATTTGAGAGATCCTATCTCGAAAAAACCCATCACGAAAAAAGGGTTGGTGGAGTGGATCAAGGTGTAAGCCCTGAGTTCAAAACCCCAGTACTGAAAAAAAAAAAAGATAATAATGGAGTAGATGGTAGAGTACTTACCTGCCAGGCACAAGTCCCTGAGTTCAGACCCCATTTCCCTGGTCCCTTCCCCAAAATGAGGTAGATAGGCCAGGTGAGGTGGCTCATGCCTGTAATCCTACTACTCAGGAGATCAGGTAGATCTACTGGACAAAAAGTTTGTGAGACTCCCATCTCAACTGATAAAAGCCAAGCATGGTGGTGTGTACCTGCCGTCCCAGCTATGTGGGAAGCTTAAATAGGAGGATCAAGGTCCAGGCCAGCCTAAGCATAAATTTGAGACCTATTTAAAAAAGAATGAAAGCCAGGCACCTCATGCCTATTGTCCTAGCTACTTGAGAGGCTGAGTTTGGGAGGATTGCGGTTTGAGGCCAGCCAAGGCAAATAGTTTGAAAGATCCTCATCTCCAAAATAACCAGAGCAAAATAGACTGGAGGTGTGGCTCAAGGGGTAGAGTGCCTGCTTTGCAAGCATGAAGCTTTGAGTTCAAACTCCAGTCCCAACAAAAAAACAAAAACAAAAACAAAATTAAAGCACAAAGTGTTGGGGTAGTGGCTTGAGTGGTAGTTCCCTGCCTAGCACGGGCAAGGCCCTGAGTTCAAACCATAGTACTGACAAAAAAAAAAAAGATGTGTGTTCAAAGAAAAAGTAAGTTGTAAAAGGACACATTAATTAACAATGACCTATCTTATGTTTGGGGATGGCTCCACCAGCTTCCACTGGCTGCAGGAAAACAAGGTGCACCTTCACAGCTACTGGATACACTTCTCCAGTATTTTCACTTTTCACAGTGAACATATGTTCACACATTAAGGTTGTAATGAAAAGTGCTTGGATGTTTTTAAAAATTAAAAGGGTCTTCTGACTTTTAGGGGAGCCAGGTGTGACGGTACACACCTGTACTATCAGCACTCGGGAGGCAGAGGCAGGGGAGATCTCAAGTTCAAGGCTGGCTGGGACTACATAACTCAACCCTGCCTCAAAAACCAAACAAAGCAGCAAGCAGCAAGGGGCAGATTGGTAAAATCAGCAAGAGGAGGAGGAGGTCTTATGGAGGATTCTGGTACAACTGATGTTCAGCTCAGTAAAATGAAGCAGGAGGGAGCATCTAATTTGAAGACCCCCGCCCCGTGGCCAACTGTGGTACGGTTGCTGAAGAGTTTAGTTCCTACCCTTCTGTATGGCAACCTATAATCTAGTTCAAAGGCAAGCGTTCTCCAAACAGGCACTGGTGAAGGTAGACAGAGGTGAGAAGAGGAAGGTTGGGTTTCTCATTTCTAATCTGGTAGCCCTCATCATGTCTTCACAACTGCCTAAAGAAAGCCATCAAGTCAGAAAAGTTCTTTCTCTTTGGAAAATGCATCTGATTGGAGTGTTAGTCCAGTGAGGTACTTGAGATCCACACTGAAGTGATGCTGAGCCCCTCCTCGATGGGACCCAGAAGTTCCAAGGCAGTTGGTGAATGACAGTTACAAATACAGAAGGGGCAGAAAAAACATGTAGAGAAAAGCGGGATGAGGTAGGCCCCAGAGATGCTGAAACTGTGTAATAAAGACGTCATAGCACAGTCCTTCGAGAGTCCATCTGACTGCTTGCCTCCCGATTTCAGCATGCTGGACAGCAGCACTCAGCTCCCCTGGAGCAGCGAGCTCCTGGGAGAGCAGCTGCAGGACCAACTGGAAGCCGAGGTGGAGGAGAAGAGGAAAGTTCTACTCCAGCTGTCCAGAGAGAACGGTAGGTCAGGTCTAGAAGAGCTCACTCAAAGGTGGCACCCTCCGCATCTGCTTTGGGAGAAGGACGTTTGGGCCTTGGCTTCTCTTAGTCTTCCTACTTGATCCTGTTCCTTTGTGGGTCACAGACCACTGGAATTGAGGCTAGCCTGGCGGTCAGTCAGATTTGGTCAGGAAGGTGTGGCATCTATGCTTTTTCCTTTCCATTTGGGAGGATGTGAATTTTAAGTGTTGTTTTTAAACATTCACTTTATGGACTGAAAGTATTAAAAATGAATTTCTCTGTCAGTTCTCATCATTCATTGCAGAGGTGAATATTTTTAGCGTCTAATGTCTGAAATGGAGAAGCAACTTATTACTCTCAGTCATACTACCATGTCAACCCCTGGATTTGATTTTCTGGAGATTGAGCCCAGGCCCAGGCATGCTAGGCAAGCACTCTACTATTGGCCTACACAAAACAAGAACAACAAAAGTCCTACCCTCCCTCCTCCCGCTTGATACTAGGGATCAAACCCAGAGTCTCAAGCATGCTGGGCAAGTGCTCTCCTGCTGAGCTCTACACCCAGCCCCCAGTCCTTGGATTTTTTGAGACAGTCTCACTATGCAGCTCAGGCTGACCTTGAACTCAAGATCCTCCTGCTTTCTCCTCCCAAATGGATTATAGGGGCTGGAGGTATGGCTCAAGTCATAGACCGCCTGCCTAGTAAGTGTGAGGCCCTGAGTTCAAACCCCAGTAGCACCAAAAAAAGAAGAAGTCAGCGTGGAGCTGGCAGACTGTGCTGTCCAGCTGAGTGACACTGCTCTTGATTTGCTGCTGTTCTCTGTCTGCAGGTGTTTTTGTCTTGTTTGTTTGGCTTTAGGAGTACAAGTGTTACCTCAGTTGCTGGGTCAGCGTTAGAAACAAGAGAATTGCTTTTCAGGAAAAATTTACAAAATGAAATGAACATTAGGGGGAAATGTTAGTTCACACTTGATCCAGCTCCGACTGTGGTCACTGATAACTATATTTCAATATCTGGGTGATTTTTTTCACCAGCTCAAAATGAGGATCTGAAGCTTGAAGTGACCAGCATCCCTCGGAATTATGAACTGGAGGCAGAGCTCCTCCAAAACACAGCTGCAGAGCCCCAGTCTCCTGACCTGCTATTTGAATCAGCCACTGATCCAGCTGTCTCAGAAGAGACAGCCCAGAGTGAGGTAGGAGAGTCTTTAAGCAAGTAAGTTCACTTTACAGAGGGATCTCTGGCAAAATATTCACAGGAAAGGTGAAGGGATTAGAAAACTGAGTGATATATATATAGCAAAAGGCCACTTTTGGAAGGCTGTGAAAACGCTGAGAATGGAGATACTTCATTAACTCCTCCCCCGTTTTCCCAGCCTTTACAGCTCATGAAACAGACGTTTCTGATGAGGACGTGAGATAATCTGCTGACTAGCACACTGCTGTTGGAGGCTGTGTGGCCTCCCTGACAGAGGGGCCTGGGGAGAGGGCACTTGGGAATCAGGGCAAGTCCTCTTTTATGTTGTGCAGTAAACTCTGCCGCTGGGCTTTTACAACCACCAATGACTGCTTTATGGCGAGTGGCTGTCACTATACATGACATATTATACTTGCTCTTCCCAATGCTTTTCCCTCTCTAGCCCAGTGAGCCAGAAACTCATGATGAAAAGAAGCTGTCCCAGATGCTAAGTGAGTTGCAAGTATCACATGCTGAGATCACACTGGAACTGGAAAAGACCAGGGATATGCTTCTGCTGCAGCGCAAAATCAACGTGTGTTACCAGGTGCAAGAGAAGATGGTGCAGGAAGTGGGTTGATAAACAGGCACAGGGGAACCGCACACAGGCTGGGAGGGAAGCAAGAGGCAGGTTTCCAGGGCTTGTGCCAGGTGACATGTTGTCCTGTGCAAGCACACAATGTGCTGTTCTTGGAAGAACTCAAGGACTCACATGCCCAGGACACCTTGGCACTAGAAGCCGAGAAGGGGCTAGCAAGTGCAACTACAAGTGTGAAGTTTTGAGTTCTAATTTCCCAAAAGTCCTAGAGAAATATCACCTATGGCACTACTTGCATAGCTAGTCCTGGAGGGACTGTAAGGAACCAAGCCTTTTTCTAGGGCTAAATCTTCCCTGGAGTGGGAGAGTCCTTAACCCAACAAGTGACAGGTTGTTTTGTTTTGTTTTTTGGTAGCACTGGTGTTTGAACTCTGGACCTCACTATTGCTAGGCAGGCGCTTTACTACTTGAGCCACTCCACCAGTCCAAGTGGCACCTTTTTTATCTGGGCTCATTGGTTGTGGGCCACTGAGATCAAGAAGTTCAGACATAATTTCATTTCAGGAGGAGCTGGAGGCTATGATGACAAAAGCTGATAATGATAGTCGAGATCACAAAGAAAAAGTGGAGAGGTTGAGCGAACTCCTAGACCTCAAGAACAACCGCATCAAGCAGCTGGAAGGTATTTTAAGAAGCCATGGCCTTCCATCATCTGGCAAGTCTTAGTACTTTGTTCTCATCTTGGGTGGCTTCACCCCATTCCCCTCCTGGCTAGGAGTCTGCTCTTGCATTCTCAGTGTGACTTACCACCTCCTGCTCTTTGTCCTGTCATCTTTGTGGTTTTAGCATATAGGTAGCAGCAGCTTTCAGAGGGTTTCTCTGATTTCTCAGGAGAGTTTCAACTGGGCCCAGCAACTGCTACCAGGGGAGTTTGTATTTTGAGAATGAGTATCACTGTTAACCCTAGGGTTCTCCTTTCTTTTCCTTTCTTTTCTTTATCTTCCTCCCTCCCTCCCTTCTTTCCCTTTCTTTCCCTTCCCTTCCCTTCCTTCACTCCCACTCTTTCCCGCCCTCCCTTCCCTCACTACCTCCCCTCCCTCCCTCCTCTTCCCTTCCCTTCCTTTCCCCTCCTCCTTCCCTCCCTCTCTTCCTTCCTCCCTGGCACTCTCTGTCTCTCTCACTCTCTCTCTTTACTCAACCCAAGCTTATAAAGCAAGTAATGAACCTTCATCACTCATCTGCCACCATCCTTTCCATGGTTTCTCTCTAAAATCTCTGCAGCATTTCAAGTGTACCAACAGAGAGAGGGCAGCTGTCACTCAATACAAGTTTCACATTGTGGTATTTCCTATTTTTAGTACAGTAACTGCTGACCAGACTTTGTTTCACCCTTGTATGTCAAGAAACTAAACCTTGTTATTATACTCAGTGGTGAGAGACCTAACTCACACTACCGAAATTCACCAGCGACCAATAGTTAAACCAGAACATGAGCCATGAAAGTGGCTATTCCATTGCTTTTTTTTAGTTTTTATTTTATTTGTTTTATATTCGAGGCTATTCTGTTTCTAATGTCAGAATATTTGGAACCACTGTTCAGGGCACCCCTCTTCCTGGTGAGAGAATCATTAATAAGCCATGTCTTAGTGGGCATGGAATTAGAATAAAGGGAGGTTAGTCATTCTGGGGCGTGAGTCTGATAGGAGATTACTGCAGGTAGCAATGGCAGCTGGGGGCGTGGCTCAAGGGGCAGAGCACTTGCCTAGCACATAACAAAGGCAAGCCCCCCAGAATGAAGCTCTCAACGTCTTTCAGATTCAGGATCTTAGACTGTTCAGGAGACCCACTTATGAAGGTTCATTTGCTTTAACTTGGAGTACTTTGCTTACTGCTAAAGCTAAAGAGTTTTTCATATGTTTACCAGTTATCAGTATTGGTTTTTTTGGTTTTGTTTTGTTTTGTTTTTGTTTTTTTGGTGGCACTGGGGTTTGAACTCATGGCCTCAAGCTTGCTAGGCAGGCACTCTTACTGCTTGAGCCACTCTGCCAGCTCCCCTTTTTTTTTTGAGGTACTAGGGCTTGAACTCAGGGCCTATGCCTCAAGCCAACTCTATCAGCCTTTTTGTGTGTGTGCTTTTTTGATGGGTTTTTTCAAGATAGGGTCTCTCGAACTATTTGCCCAATCTGGCTTGGAACTGCCATCCCTCTGATCTCTGCCTTCTGAGTAGCTAGGATTACAGGCATGAGCCACTAGCACCCAGCTGATTTAGTTCTTTGTACACTAAGACTATTAGTCCTAATTTAAACATATTGTATTTAGTGATATTGATCTCATCAATTAAGAAAGCACTAACCAATTAGTCAATATGTGTACTCCCTTTTTTGTTGGTTTGTTTTTCAAGACCAGGTCTTATTGTGTTGCCCAGGCTGGTCTTACATCCCTGAGCTCAAGTGGTGGTCCTCCTGCCTCAGCTTCCCAAATGCTCAGATACAACTGTGCACAACTGTGCACCACCACACTCAGCACTTCCCATGTTTTGTAAAACATGAAGACATTCTGATGTATCCAGAACATTTTGTTTTACTAGTTCAACTCTTAAAATAGAATGAGTCAATACATGATGATGACTCCAATCCTCCCCGTGTGAGGTAGACAGTATATTGCAGTTTGTGACTGGCTGGGCATGAGAAGTGATGCCTGGATGTGAGACTCTACAGAGCTTTGCATCTCATTGCCAGTATCTCCAGTCAGTCTCCTCTCCCACTTTTTATTCTACTACCCTTTGACTTGAAGTGGATATTTTGCCCTCTTACAGTGAAACCAATTTCTAAGCAGAACAAAAACTCTCGGAACTGATCTGGCTGGAGAGGGGAAGCATTTCTTAGTTTTGCCCAGCGTAATGTCCTGGACTCTGTCTGTCTGTTGCTCGATAGTCTGTCCGTGGCCAACCTACTAAATTTTGGAAATAGTCACATTTTATGTTTCTTGTTCTTCTGTTATGGAATTACTTGTTGATCCAAAGAACCTTGCTGTAAGCCAAAACAGTGACATCATATTCTGAAATGTGTTTCCTGAGTTTCAAATTTCTTTTCTAGTCACTCCTTCTGTACCTTCTCATCGAAGCACACATTGAATTATTTGGCCATCAGAATTCAAAGCTTCTCATTGTCATTCTACTGCTTTTCCTTCTGAATCATGAGATTTCTTGAAATAATCTCAACTTGGACTTCACATGATCTTATTCTCCTTCTGTCTATCCTCTTTTACCGTAAAAAGGATCTCTCTACCCTTTAATGGATAGGCAGTTTTCTTTCCCCTCTAGAACAACTCAGAGATGTTGCATATGGCACCCGACAGTTGTCATTCCATTTGGACACACTGCCAGCCAACAGAGATGAGGACGAAGTGGACATTTCTCTGCTGCATCGGGGCGAGAATCTTTTTGAACTGCATCTCCATCAGGCCTTCCTGACATCCACTGCCCTGGCTCAGGCGGGAGACCCCCAACCTACCACTTTCTGCACTTATTCCTTCTATGATTTTGAAACCCACTGTACCCCACTATCTGTGGGGCCACAGCCCCTCTATGATTTCACCTCCCAGTATGTGCTGGAGACAGGTTTCCTTTTCTTCCACTACCTTCAGAGAGCTTCAATCCGGCTTGATCTACACCAGGCTGTGGCCACTGAGCACCACATCCTGGCGACTGGATGGATTTGCTTTGACAAGGTGCTAGAGACTGTGGAGAAAGTCCATGGCTTGGCCATACTTACTGGTAAGTGCTGGCAGCTTCCTGCAGCTCCCAGGATGAATGCACAATTTCCTGCAGTCTAGCATTGGTTTTCCGGTGGTTTTGCGATTTTGGCCTCTGCCTTCATTCTTGATCCTTGCCACACCATCCCTGTTCTCCATGCCTTCATACTTTCTGCTACCCAGGAGCTGGTGGAGAAGACTTCGGGGTACTCGAGTACTGGATAAGGCTGCGTTTGCCCTTAAAATCCAGCCTACAGGCATACAACAAACAAAAGAAAGCCCAGGCCTACCTGGCAGCCAGTGTGCTTGGAGCCTGGAAGGTCCAGGAGGACAAGGTGAGACATAGGACCTCAGCCAGACAGCTCATGAGAACAGCTCAGTCTTCCACTCTCAATGATAAGTATTTGTGGAATGTGAACAAAAGAGGAAACCTGCCACGCCAGAACCAGTGTAGAGTCCTCCCTTTGTCAAGCTTGAGTCAGAAATCATGCCCTGGAGCTAGCTACCTCTCCTTGCTGTGAACAGAACAGCTTCTCTCAGTGTTCTCTTAGATGAGCCCCAGGACTTGCTTCTCCCTCAGATAACTGCCAGGACCAGTGGCCAGGCAGGTGATGGTCATTAGGTTTCTCTGACCTAGTAGAATAGCAGCTCTCTAGGTCATAGCTCTTGCTCACCTATAACTGTACTCTTAGGCTGCTCTTTTCCTCAACCCGAGAGCAAGATCTTTCCAGTCCAGAGCAGAAACTTGGAAACTTCAGAATGAGCTGCACATTGAAATCACCAGGTGCTGTGGCCTCCAGAGTCGATGGCTGGGAACTCAACCCAGTCCATATGCCGTGTACCGCTTCTTCACTTTTTCTGATCATGACACCGCCATCATTCCAGCCAGTAACAACCCCTACTTTAGAGACCAGGCTCGATACCCGGTACTTGTGACCTCTGACTTGGATGAGTACCTGAGGCGGGATGCTCTGACCATATACATTTTTGATGATGAAGACTCCGAGCCCGGCTCATACCTTGGCCGAGTCCAAGTGCCCTTGCTGCCTCTGGCACAAAACAAATGTATTAAAGGTGCGGGTTCAAGGTTGTTCCATCTTCCACTGTTGTCTCCCTGTCCTGATTGTCCTTCAAGTACTTGCTTGGAACAGTCTCTCTTAGGACTGCTGAAAGGACTTTAGAATATTGTCAAGAGCAAAGAGCAGAAGACTAAGACCTCTCTACTCATGTGGAAGCATGGGCTTCTGCTGTTTTTTAGCAACAAAAACAAGATCCCTGAGGGGGTTAGCCTCCCAACTGAATTCCACACCTCTCTCTGCAAAGTGCTTTCAAACGCTCTAATTCTTCCCAGTACTCGCCTCTATGTAAGGCCTGTTTTCTCTTGGTGCGTGCGATGCCTGATTATAACAATTCTCCCCCGTAACTTCCTCACCTTTTTTACATACTAGACACAAGTTAGAGAGACTTCCATACCAGACCATGGCAAAGGCAAATTTTTTGGATTTGGAGCTGAGCTCTTATCCTATTTTCACACCCAGGGCTATAGGGTGCACCGGAGAGGGGTCAGTCTCTGGCTACCCTGTAAAAGAAGACAGGAGTATCCAGGCTGTCAGTAGGAATTGTGGTTAGGTACAGCCAGTACCAACCATCTTTAACCAGATTCTGTGTGCTCAGGAAGAGTGTGAGGCCTTTCTCCTTCTAAGTAATGGCTTTATAAGCCATTACTGCTTATAAAAAAACAATAAAGGCTGACACTTCTGTCCACATTTCCTCCTTCACCAAAGAGGAGAGGCTGTGTATTAGTTATTAGTCACTGTAGAAATCAGAAGCCTGGCGTTTGGGATAAATCATTTTGTTTAAGCTTTCTGGGACCATGTGAATGTAGATAATGGTTTTCTTGGTATGCCTACAACATAGTAAGCATTTTTTGTGGGGAAGATGTTTTGTATTAGCATGTTTTACAAAGGCGTTCCATTGTGATATGTCCATATAAGCATATAATGTGCTTTGATCAAATTCACCCCCTCCTGTGACCCCTTCACAGTAAGCATTTCATAAAAGCAACAACAATGTCATCTTGTTGGCTGGGTGACTGATGACAAGCAAGCTGTGTTCCTCTCCATCCCCATTGACTGACTCTTCCTGAAACCTGGAACTATCCATCCTTCTTTGTGGTAATCTAACTGCACTGCTGTTTTATGTTACTCCTGAGTATATTGTTGTCATGATTATTTGATGTATGTTAACTAACTACTAACAAAATACAGTAAAATTTATTTTTTATTTTTTGGTGGGACTGGGGTTTGAACTCAGGGTTTTGTGCTTGCAAAGCAGGTGCTCTTCCACTTGAGCCACACCTCCAGTTATTTTTTGCTGTGGTTATTTTGGACATTGGTTCTTGAGAACTGTTTGCCTGGGCTGGCCTAGAACCTGGATCCTTCCAAACTCAGCTTCCCAATTAGCTAGGGTTACAGGCGTGAGCTAATATAATGAACATTTTTAAATGGGGAGAAGTAGGTAAGATGCTGATAAGATGCTCACTTACCTCTTTTGTGTGATGAGGTGCTATTAATATCTGGTTTCTCTCAGGTGACTTTAACCTCACTGACCCTGCGGAAAATCCCAATGGATCTGTTCAAGTACAACTGGACTGGAAGACTCAGTACCAACCTCCTGAGAGCTTCCCGACACAAGAAGTCGAGACAGAGGAAAACAACATCAAAGACGGCTCAGAGAACTCATCTGCAGAGGAAGTACCTACTTTTCTTCCCCAGGTAGCTCTTCAGGATACTCTTGGTAACAGAACTCTACCAATCCTATAGTGCAGATTTAAATTGGAGCAAAAACAATTATTTCTGTGAATGTCATGTGTAATGCAAATTTAAACTGGAAGCTATGATGGAGCAAAAGTCTGGGCTTTTTTTCCTTTCACTTTTGGCTGTGCTGGGGTTTGAATTCAGGGCCTTGTGCTTGCCTAGGCAAGGATTCTACTACTTGAGCCATGTCCCCAGCCCAAAACCTTAGGTTTTATTGTGTAGAGGAAAGACAGTAACTCTCAGATGTGTGACAGGAGAGGAAAGAAAGCTAATGCTCATTCACAGATTCCATTCTTGAGTGTCAAGGTTGTCAAACTATCACTTTGTAAGGTTGTCTCTGATTCTTCTGATCAGGACCAGATGGCATTTGCTGAGATTCCTATTGAAGCTGACCAGTACCAAGCAAAGAGGAAACATCCTCAGGTGGAAGAAAGAAAGGAAAAAGAACACCAGGTTGTGAGCTACTCAAGAAGAAAACATGGCAAAAGAATAGGTGCCCAAGGAAAGAACAGAATGGAGTATCTGAGTCGTAATATCTTAAATGGAAATACACTGCAAGTAAGGCCTTAGAAACCCTGAAGAACTAAAATATAGGTGTAGTGTCTTCATATGCATTATTATTAGAGTCAGAAGCAGAAGAAGATGCACAAGATATACAATAATCATAGCTAGGCCAGGTATAGTGGCTCTTGCCTGTAACCCTAGCTACTCTGAAGACCCAGTTCGGGAGGATCACAGTTTGAGGCCAGCGTGGGCAAAAAAACATTCTCAAGATCCCATCTCAACCAATAGCTAGGTGTGGTAGTGCATGCCTGTCATCCCAGCTATGTGGGAAGCATAAATAACATTGCAGTCCAGGCTGGTCCTGACAAAAAGTCAGACCCTGTCCCAAAAATAACTAAGGCAAAAAGGTCTGGGGGTATGGCTCAAGAGGTAGCACTCCTACCTAGCAAGTACAAGGCCCTTTGTTGAAACCCCAGTACCACAAAACAAAAAACATGGCTATGTGTAGTTTGCTTGTGTTTCCACAAACAAAAGTAGTTTAGTAAAGCCCTAGAGTATTCCTTTCATTTCCATGTAATTTAATTCAGCATGTTACATACTCTACAATTATGCTTAGAAATTTCATCACATATATATACTATTTCAAAGCAAGTATTAAACTTTAAAAATTAAAAAGAGCTAGTACTAAGAATGAAAGAAAACTGAGACATCCCCCCTTATGTAGTGTTGTTGTTTTTATTCTGAAGCAGGTGAATTACACAGAGTGGAAGTTCTCGGGTCTTAACATCTCCACAGATGATGGTTTTAAAGCTGAGAACGAGGATGGAGATGATGGAGATGATGGTTCTAAAACTGAGAATGAGGATGGAGATGATGGAGATGATGGTTCTAAAACTGAGAACGAAGATGGGGATGATGGAGATGATGGTTTTAAAACTGAGGATGAGGACAATGAGATGATGTCATCCCATTCAAGACTGAGACAGGAAGACTTCCCATATCCCAGAAATGGTATTGTCTTTCTAAAATCTAATTCTTCTGTTTAGTCATTTAATTATTTTATAAAGCCAATTATTTACTGGCTTTATCATGCAGTGCAGAGCTTTTAATGGAAAATTAGTGTGTAAACTCCTAGGTCTTGTGTTGCAAATGTGAGGGTTAAGCCAGCCACGCCTGGAATTCTCACAGACAGTCGCTTTCTATGTATGTATAGTTAGTGGATGGATGGTTATCTTCGTTACTTAGTATCTGTGAAATGTAAATTTGCTCCAGGGTCCTGTGAAAAAAAAAATAGGGGGGAGAGTAATTTGTGAAGCTAATTCAGATCTTTTTAAAATTAAAGCAAGGCTTTAGTGTTAAAATGGAAAATAGAAGACATGATTTCCCATTATTCTAATGGCAAAGTAGGAAATTGAGATAAACTCTCCCATCAATGATAATTAAGCTAAAGTAAATCTTAATGTTTTTTAAAGGCATGAAAAGACCAACAAGAGAGGAAAGAATTGCCTCACTTAGGTCAGAGAGGTAGTTGGAGTTGAGGTGCAAATGCTTCCACTCGTGAACACAGCCAGTCTGAGGGATGCTGGGGAGAGGTTGGATGCTATTTTTGATGGCCTTTGTGATGCCTAAGTAGGGATGCAGTCCAGACCTGGTGCCTGCTCAGGGTAGAACTTCCCATTGTGGTCTGGGAAGACTCCATTCTGAGCCTCTCGTGTCTTGAGCTACAGAAATGTGGGTTTGAGCAGGGCACTGGTGGCTTAATCCTAGCTGTAATCCTAGCTACTTGGGAGGCTGAGATCTGGAGGATCAAAGTTAAAGGTTAGCCTGGGCAAATAGTTTGAGAGACACCCCCACCCCCAATCTCCAAAATAACTAGAGCAAAATGAACTAGAGGTGTGGATCAAGCTGTAGAGTGCTTGCCTTGCAAGTCCAAAGTCGTGAGTTCAAACCCCAGTCCTGCCAAAAAAAAAAAAATGGAAAAAGAAAAAGAAAGAAAGAAAGAAATGTGGGTTTGTAGCACTTGAAGTGCTGCCTCAGTGTCCACCAGGGTTCCAGACACAGACTGCACACGACTGTCTTTACCACCTTCATGGAGATAAAATTTTAATTTTAAAGCTGAGTTTTAAAAATTCAAGAAACAACTGAAACTATGAAGAGTGATATTTTAAGTTTAAAAATAATTTCATTTTAAAATAATTTCAAACTTACAGAAGACCTACATTAATAGGAACAAAAAATCATATTTACACTTTACCCAAATTCATCCACTTTTAACATTTTGCCACTATTTCTCACTTTTTTCTGAAGCATTTGAAAACAAGTCACAAACATACCTTCTTATTACTATAATTTATTTTCCCAAAGAAAAGACGAATATACCTGGGGGCTGGTGGCTCACACCTGTAATCCTAGCTACTCAGGAGGCAGAGATCAGGAGGATCCCAGTTCAAAGCCAGCCTGGGTAAATAGTTCATGAGACCCTATCTTGAAAAAACCCTTCATAAAAATGGTGGAGTGGCTCAAAGTGTAGGCCCTGAGTTCAAGCCCCAGTACACAAAAAGAAGAAGAAGGAAGAGGAGGAGAAAGAGGAGGAGGAGGAAGAAGAAGAGGAGGAAGAAAAGGAGGAGGAGGAAGATGAGAGGGGGAGGGGGAGGGGGAAGGGAGGAGGAGGAGGAGGAGGAGGAAAGAAGACTATATAACCAGCGGACAGTTATAAGACTTGCAAAACTTAACACATATACACTGGGGGCAAAACATTGATGGAGAGGTGCTAAGCTGGTGCCAGTTTGCTGCAAATTCACCTGAGAGAGTGCTGGGGAGACTGCATGGAAGGTGCCATATGCTGGAGCTACTGGGATTGTTGGAAACAGATGTTGCAGAAACCATGCACTTCCGGAGTCCTGTTTGCAGAACTATGTGTGCTATTGGAACTATGCCATGTGTGTCCACACCTGCTGCAGGAGGCTGCCTAATGCAGGAACCAGGAAGAGAAACTGCTCCTCAGAGACCCTTCAGCACCTTCTATTGACAAACATGAGCATAGTGCCAGCTGGCAAGGAAGAAAGATTTACAGGGTCCAGCTGCATTGTTGCACAGCAGGCAATAAAGTATGTGTTTGGAGTGAGAGCAAGAAATGGATAACTGCCGGGCACTGGTGGCTCACGCCTGTAATCCTAGCTACTCAGGAGGATCATGAATTGAAGCCAGCCCGGGAAAACAGTTCAAGAGACCTTATCTTGAAAAAACCCAACACAAAAAAATAGGACTGGTGGAGTGGCTCATGTGGTAGAGTGCCTGCCTAGCAAGCATGAGGTTCTGAGTTCAATCCCCAGTGCTGCCAAAATAAATAAATTAAATAAAATAGTGCTTGTTTTATGTACTGAGGTCTGGCCGATTTTGTGCCAGAGTCGTTCTTCAGATGCCCTATGCTGGTTCTGACTCTAGCCAGAACACTGGTCTCTCCCAGGAGGGGAAGGAGGGTAATCATCTAGAAAGTGTCCTTATTAGGCATTTGGGATGCCACTGTTGTTCTGTTTCTTGGCTGGGTGATTCTATAGATATTAATTTTATAGTAAGTTAATAGATCAACATTTATATTTTATATAGTTTTCTATATGCTAAAAACTTTATCTTTTTTTTTTTTTTAGCAGTACTGGGGCTCCAACTCATGGCCTCATGCTTGCTAGGCATGTGCTTTAGGCAGGAGCTCTACCACTTGAGTCACTCCACCAGCTGCTAAAAACATTAAAAATGAAAGGAAAAATGTAAAGGTAGATAAAAAATTTATTTATTAGTCTTTGCTACTAAAAAAGACTTTTTTAAAAAATCTCTAGAATTATAATTTTTGGGTTTTTAAAATTTTTTTGGCAGTACTGGGCTTTGAACTCAGGGCTTTGCACTTGCTAGGCAGGTGCTCTACTGCCTAGCATGGCTGGAGGATTTGGGGGATTTTAAATGTATTCGACATAACTTCTTGTATGGGAAGATAATCTGATTTTCTCACGAGAAGAAATTTTCTATTCATGTATAATCTAGTTTCTGTATTTTTATTTTTTAACTTCTGGTGGGACTGGGGTTTGAATTCAAGGCTTTGGACTTGCAAAGTAGGCATTTCACCACTGAGCCATGCCTCCAGTCTATTTTGCTCTGGTTATTTTGGAGATGAGAGTTTCTCAAACTATTTGCCAGGACTGAGCTTGCACCTCAATCCTGTCAATCTCAACCTTCGAAGTAGCTAGGATTATAGGCATGAGCCACTGGTGCTTGGCATATAATCTAATTATTTTTAAATATTTAAATTTTTAAATGAAAGGATATTTAGTATAAGGGAGATTGACAGGAAAAAAAAAAAAAAAGCCCAAATTTTCCCATGCCTAATTTCCATTATTGACAAGAAATCCTGGTTAGAAGAGAATAGTTCCATTCTTGAGATTAGTAGACGCTGTGTTATCATTTAGTCATTAAGTAATAGTATAAACAGTAGTAATGGACCTTGGTAATTCCCTGTACATTTGACTGCAAGGTTCCAGGCATGTCCACTCTCCCAATTTCCATCTCTCCAATTATTTCAGTGTGGCCTCTGCCACCGTAGTTTTCCTCTGTTTAGAATGTGAGCTATGGGACCAGGAGATAATCCAAAACCATGTACTATATAGTCACCTCCTATGTACTGTATAGTCATAAATGAGACTGTGCCAAATTGCTACTGTTTTATTGCCCTTCTCCATGAATTTCAGAAAACAAAGAGCATTCTCCATGAATTTCACAAGAAGCTAAAATCTACCTGGTCCAGATGTCTGAGTAGGAATGTCAGTGGCAAGATGCTCTGGTTGTTGAAAAGGAGCTTTTTATTCCTTGAGACCTAGGCTTACAAGGTTTAGAAAAAGCCCAACAAGAAAAGGAACTGGCTCAACAGTAAAACCGTTACAACATTTGCAGACAGAGCCTTGCACACACTTTGCTTTGCTGCCCCTCCTTAGCGTAGACCTTTTCCCTCTGAGACCTCAGTGGAGCAGAGAACCCCAGGACTTGGAAATTTCAGGCAGGAGGCACAGTCTGTCTTCCAGTTATTTATTGCTAAATAACAGTCCTCACAAAATTTAATGGCTTAAAACAACAGGAATCATTAATTCAGGCAGGTCTTAGGGAAGGCTCAGTTCTCCTCCACATGGCATCAGATTGGGTAATTCAGCTGGGGAGCAAATGGGCTTAATTTATAAGATGGATCACAAAGGGAGCTGATTTTCATTTGGAAGCTCATAGTGGCTCTGGGCTTGGCATCTGAGCCCCTCTCCCCCCGGCCTTCTGCAGCTTTCTTGGGCTTCCTTAAGCTTAGTGACTGGGTTCCAGCAGGGAGAGTCCTAAAAGGACAAGGGACCATGTATGTGGTATGTGTGTTCTAGCATGGTTGGGACAGTCACAAAGATCCACCTCAGTTGAAGGGGAGAGGACATAGCCCCTAGCACTCAATAGGAGGGGTATGGAGGTCACATTGTGAGAAGAGCATGTGGGATAGAGGCCATCACTGAAAAACATGATTGCCACACTTGACTGTGCTGCTCTTCCTCAGCTTGGTCATTTTCTTCAGGAGGTCAGCCTACGTGTCTACCCTTCCTTTCCTCCCTTCCCTGCCTTCCTTACTGTTCCCGCCATTCCTCCTTCCATCCCCCCTTCCTTCTTTATTTCTGTTCTTCTTTCTTTCCCTTTCCTTCTTTTTTTCAGAAGTGATACAGGGTTCACTTGAAATTCTGAATAAGTGAATCTTTGAAAAATAGGCTTTAACTGGGTTGTGGCTCAAGTGGTAGAGTGCCTGCCTCGTAAACACAAAGCCCTAAGTTCAAACTGCAGTACCACAAAAGAGAAAGAAAGAAAGGAGCTGGGATACCAGTGGCTCACGCCTGTACTTCTAGCTACTCAGGAGGCAGAGATCAGGAGGATCATGGTTTGAAGCCAGCCGGGCAAATAGTTTGTGAGACCCTGTCTCAAAAAAACTAATACAAAAAAGGGCTGGTGGAGTGACTCAAAATGTAGGCCCTGAGTTCAAACCCCAGTACCAAAAAAAAAAAAAGGAAGGAAAATAGGGTTTGATTCCTAGCTAGTGAAGTAAAGCCTAGATCTCATGACAGTGGATTGGAAATGTGGGTACGGACTCTTTTCTTGGCTAGACAGAGTGCTTGGAAAGAGTTCTGTAATTCAGCCTCTTCTCTAGCAGATCAAGAATCCTGTGAAGAAGCTTCTGAAGTCAGTGAAGCACGAGTGACAGACAGCGATGACATCATAGTGACGCCCGTATCTGAGAAACGTCCTAAGGCAGTAAGTGTACTGGTGTCACCCTTGCATGTGAGACAAGACTGTCTGTCCATAATGATGGTGTGCTTAGTGGTCACGAATGGTTTAAAGGAACTTGATGGGAAATGAACTTACTTTGATGAAATCGTTGTTTTGGTTTGGTGTAAATGACAAAAATGCTCAGTTAAATATGTGTTAAATAAATGATTAGAAACTACTTCATCATTGTAGGCAGGTATAGAGCAGGGACAAGATAAGGGAGGTGGAGGTGTAGATGCTTACGTACAGCTCCTGGCTTCCTGCCTATGCGGAGGGTGACATTAATACCAGTGTGGTTGTGTATGTGACAGGTAGAGGTGATTATAAGCCAACTGTGTGGGATCTGAGCTGCTCATGAGATCAGGTGGGGATGTCTGGTGGGCCTGTGGATCTCTGGACCTAGCGTTCAGGGGCTCTTTCTGAGACAGAGGTTTGGATGTCAGCCTAGAGCAGGCTGAGAGCCTGGAAGCAAGCAAGATTGCTCAGGAAAGAAGCTCATGAGATCAGGTGGGGATGCCTGGTGGGCCTGTGGATCTCTGGGCCTAGCGTTCAGGGGCTCTTTCTGAGACAGAGGTTTGGATGTCAGCCTAGAGCAGGCTGAGAGCCTGGAAGCAGGCAAGATCACTCAGGAAAGCAAAGATGAAGCCAAAGACAGAATCATGGAGAATCCCTCCAGCAGTTAAAGGGCACATGGAGCAAGAGAGGGCTACTGAACAAAGTGCGCAAAGAGAGGGAGGACAGAAAAGGCGGGCCTTGATAGGAGTAGACATTCAAAAGGAGATAGTGAGCCGGGCGCCTGTGTCTCACACCTATAATCCTAGCTACTCAGGAGGCAGAGATCAGGAGGATCACGGTTCAAAGCCAGCCTGTGCAAATAGTTTGCGAGACCCTATCTCCAAAAACACCCTCACAAAAAAGGGGGGGGTGTGAGCTGGTATAGTGGTTTGAGGTGTATTTCCTGAGTTCAAGCCCCAGTACCACAAAAAAAAAAAAAGAGAGAGAGAGACAATGATCCTCTTCAAATAAAGACTGAAAAGGTATCATTAATCTTATTTCAAGTTCTTTCTTCTTGACATATTTTACTCCATCTTTTCTTCCTGGGACTACTGATTATCCCTTTATTCCTGTGACTGGCTCTTGCATTCCTAGAACAGTGGTTATCAATCATCACAACACATGGCTCCCATCACACCCATTTGATAATAAATGTATGTGTGCTAAATATATGCATACATTTATAAATGTGGTCCAAGCCCATAAATGTACCTCAAGCCTGTAATCCCAGCTACTTGGGAGATGGAGTTCCAGGCCATTCTGTCTGGAAGACAAAGTTCGACACCATCTCAACCAATAAAAAGTCAGGCATGGTGGTACATGCTTGTCATACCAGCTATGTGGAAAGTGTAAATAGGAGGGTTGTAGTTCAGGCTGGCCTGGACACAAACATGAAACCCTACTGGAAAAATAACTAAAGCAAAAAGAACTAAGGGTGTGGCTCAAGTGGCAGAGCTCCTGCTTAGCAAGTGCAAGTGCAAGACCCTGAGCTCAACCTCCAGTACTGGCAAAAAAAAAAAAAAAGTAATGTGAACATTTCATCAAAAATTAAATTATAGTGAGATGTATAAAAGAAAAAGTTTTGTGACCAGTTTACTAAATTTGCTCCCCTGTCCCCTCCTACTTGTACTCCTTAGGGCTTGTCCCTATGCACGGTCTGGTTTGCATCCATTTGATGAATACATACACACATACACACACACATACACACTCCCTCACTATATATATGTGTGGGGGGAACACACTACACATTCCCCCTTTTAAATAACCTTCTAAGTATCTTACACATCTTCCGAAGTCAATATACAGCAATCTGCACATGCTACTCTATAGAGTAAGTGTAGTTTATTCAGTCACTTGTTATTCAAGTACATTTAGATTGTGTTTAGTGTTTTGATATTAAAAGTGACACTGCTTTGAACATTCTTGCACTCTGCAAAAAGTATCTTTGTGTACTTTGCAAATATTTTTGCATTGGGTATTTTCGAGATAGGGTCTCTCGAACTATTTGCCCAGGTTAGCTTTGAACCATAATCCTCCTGATCTCTGCCTCCTGAATACCTAGGATTACAAATGTGAGCCACCAGCACCCAGCTACACTTTTCTCATACAATCACTATAAGACATACACTTCTATGCTGTGCCCAGTGCACTCATCTACTAACCAAAGTATTCAGAAGCGAGCCTTACCCTTACCATTTGCCATCCCTTTCATAATCTCTCCTATTTTATTCTACTCTGTCCTATCCTATTTTATTCTTTCATTTTGAAATGTACTAAGTTATTCATTAAAGTGGGAAACCCCACATTTTGGAACACTGCATAGTGTCAATGGTTTGCTTGATGGGTGTTGTGGGAGGATTATGTAGAGGATATTGGGAGGAAAACATCAAATATCTTCACTTTTAATAAGCATACAGATGACTGTGATGCAGACTTGTTGGAAGATCTTTGCCTACTGAATTCCTTAGAAGATACAGGTGTGCCACTTGCTCTTAGAGAAGAAAAAGAGGGATGGGGGCAGGTCTTTGGGGAAATAAGGGTGTTGTGCTGGCGGCCTAGAAGAAAGAAGCAGCCAAGAGAGCATCACAAATGAAAGGGAACCATTCTGTACAAGTCTTTAAAAATCTTTTTTGGTGGTGCTAGGGTTTGCACTCAGGGCCTTGTACTTGTTAGGCAGGTGCTCTACCACTTGAACTGCAACCTGGTCCTTTAGTGAAGTCATTGCCACAGGCTCAACTCCCAGCTGGCCTGTGCTCTGTATGCATCTTACCTTTCCTTGCTTTAGGCTGGGCAGGTCCTGCTGCTTCTGAATAATCTCCTAGAGACCTAAGGCCTTGGTGACCTCATTCTGAATTTAGTGTGCGCTGCTGGCTTTAGCCCTCGCCCTTTCTGTTTTGTTGTTGTTGTTGCTTTTGTGATACTAGACGTTGAACCCAAGGCCTCCTGAGCCATGCCTCCAGTTCAGGACACCATTCTGGATTGATATCAACTCATGCCACAGTGTGGAAATAGGGGCTTCTGTTTGGTTCAGTAGACTTCTGGAAAGTGGTGAGATATATCAGTCCTCCTCCAGACATCCCTCATGCTAATGTGGACAGAGGGACACGCAAAAGAGAAGACAGTGGTAGTGGTGGCCATTCTGAAGTGGAGCTGAAAGTATTGACTCCTTGGGAGGACGGGGTGGCCTGGTGGCCTCCTCTGTGGCCTGTTCTCAGGTGGTTGAAGCTGCAGGTAAATCTCCAGTATCAGTGGGCAGCTCTTCTGGGTCCTAACTAATGAAAATGCTAAGTTGGTTTCCATTGAGAAAGTTGAAGAAGAGCAATTTCTTCAGAAATCTTCTCTACTCTTCCTGTATGTAGAGATGGCCAAAGAATTCTGGTCTGGAGAACTGATTCTCTGACAGACAGAAGCTGGATTCTCTTACAGATTTCTCATAGATTCAATGTGGCAATTCTGTCAAGTTGTCTCTTGTGCCAGTTTTGCCTATGAATTGATTATCAGAGATTTACATAGATCATGCCTGGGATTGATTTAGAGATAGTAATGTGTTAATTGGGTGGATTATGAACACTTGGACCCTCACTAACCTGTAGGGAATCAATGTTTCCCTTGTCAGGAATCAGAGAAGATGTGTATTGAAATTGTCTCCCTGGCCTTCTACCCAGAGGCTGAAGTGATGTCTGACGAGAACATAAAGCAGGTGTACGTGGAGTACAAATTCTATGATCTCCCCTTGTCAGAGACAGAGACTCCAGTCTCCCTGAGGAAGCCCCGGGCAGGAGAAGAAATCCACTTCCACTTCAGCAAGGGTGAGGCATCCTGTGTGGCAGAGGAGGCTGACATACACTTAGATTCAGGCTCAGAACTACTCTGGGCTTCTGATGGGGATCAATCCAACCAGTCTTATTTTGACAAAGTGGTGTATGCAGGATGCTTTTAAAATATCAAATAGATCTAAGAAGATATTAATTAAAATTAATCAGGCCTAGCCAGATTAGGAGGCAGAGATCAGGAGGATTAAGGTTCAAAGCCAGTCTGGGCAAATAGTTTGTGAGACCCTATCTCAAAAAATACAGCACAAAAAAGGGCTGGTAGAGTGGCTTAAGTGGTAGAGCATCTACCTAGCAAGTGTGAAGTCTTGAGTTCAAACCCCAGTAGCACCCACCAAAAAAACAAAAATTAAGCAGTCATAGACAGGCACTGGTGGTTTATGTCTGTAATCCTAGCTACTTGGGAAGATCTTGGTTCAAGGCCAACCTAGACGTAGTTTATGAGACCCCCCCCCATCTCCAAAATAACCAGAGCAAAAAGGGACTGGAGGTGTGGTTCAAGCAGTAGAGTGCCTGCTTTGCAAGCACAAAGCCCTGAGTTCAAAAACCCTATTCCCACAAAAAAAAAAAAATCTAGCAGTCCTCATAAATCACTCCCTCTGCCCCACCCCTTGCCTGAGTCCACCACAGTTGCTACTTTTTCAGCCATTTCTTTGACGTTTACTTCCATATATCTGAGTAATGTTTCCATTGCAATATCCTCATTCACCAATTTTAGACATTATCTGTTGTCTGTCTTCTGTAGCTGAGAAATTTTAGCTATTTTACATTATGCCCACGTCCCTTTTCTTCTATATAATTGGACCATGGTTTTTACTGAATCAATTTTAATTGTGGCTATTAAATATTAATTCTTGCAGAGCTAAGCAGCATGCCATGACTACATTTTCTTGTTTTGGTTGGACTGGGACTTGAACTCAGAGCTTTGAGCTTGCAAAACAGGTATTCTACTGCTTGAGCCACACCTTCAGTCCATTTTGCTCAGGTTATTTTGGAGATGGGGTCTGGAGAACTTCTGTCTGTGCTGGCCTCGAAATGTGATCCTCCAGAGCTCAGTCTCCCATGTAACTAGGATTACAGGTGCACAACTTTTCTTCGTTGAATGTTGGGTGATTCTAATCACTCCTTTTCCTCCTGTGATTCTGTTTCTTCCTTCCTTTCTTTCTTCCTTCCTTCCTTTCTTTCTACTGTTTGGGATATTTCCTTTTGTCTTCCAGTCATTGGCTGAATATTTGTTTTAATTTTTTTTAATTTTTCTTTCTTTGTTTTTGTTTATTTTGAGACAGGGTCTTACTCTGTACCCCAGGCTGCCTAGAACTTTAGCTTTTTCTGTCTCAGCCTCCCAATTGCTGGGATATTAGTTGTGAGCCACCACACCTGGACTGCTAAAGGAATTCACCTTCGTAGTAGACCACGCCTTTGTATCGTAGGAGATAGAAGGTGATTTCTCACATGACAAGGTGGGCAGTCAAGAGTGATGCCATGTGATCCATCAGAGAGCCTATCTTGTCTTCCCATCACCTTGTTGCCTGTCTGGTTATGCCGAGGTCTTTAAAGGCTGTGGAAGAAGGGTAGAAATGGTTACTGGCTGAGTCTTGGAAGCAGCCTTCAGGAAGGTTTCATACAGCACAATGGGCACAACTTAACTCATCTCTAACTAGGAAAGAGACTGGACAGTGCAGACCAATTTCTTTGAGGCTGCAACCTTGCCATATAAAAATGAGGAGAAAGGGGAGAATCGATGTTGAGATCGGTACCCTGAGTGAACCTACTACAAACCCCAAATCTTCAGGCGGCCTTACAGAATCTGTTTCCTGTATTCTCCCAGCTGTGCAGTGGTGGAGCACAGTTGTTTTGGCAGGTGGCAAAACAGCTTTCAATGCAGGTTTTCATGTTGCTTTAGTAACAAACTGTTTCCTACAAGCCCAGATAGTGAACAGTTTAGGTTTTGTGTGGTCAGTCTCTGTCATAACTGTTCACCTCCCCATTGCAGTTCAAAAGCAACCACAGGCTGAAGGTGAGCTCAGTGGTAGAGTAGGGGTTAGCGTGTGCAAGGCCCTGGATTCAGACCCTAGCACCCAAAACAATACAAAACAAGGGCTTGGAGGCATGCCTCAAGAGAAGAGCACCTTCCTAGCAAGCTCGAAGATCTGCGTTTAAACCCTAGTATTACAAAACAAACAAAAACAAAAATGTAGCCACCAACGGTATGTACACAGACGTTTTCAATAAACTTCATTCACGAAAATAGGGAGCCAGTCCATAGGCCTCTGCTTTATATCAGTGTTTCACATGTGCCTTTTCCAGAAGTCTGCCCAAGGAAGCAATAGTGTGTGATTGTTTGCTTTTTCTCTTACCTTTCCTACAGTGATAGACCTGGACCCAGCGGGGCAGCAAGGCCGACGGCAGTTTCTGTTGCCATGCTGAACGCACAGGATCCTGAGCAAGGACAGTAAGCATCTCTTTCTGCTTTGGAAGAGTGGACATATTCAGACAGTAATTCAAATGTTTGCGTTTGGTTTTGTGCTAACACTGGATATTTCAGTAACTTCTTTTGAGTTAGTTTCCTCATAATGAATTCCCCATCTACTTGAATGTAAGTGATGTTTGTGTATCTATCCTTATTTAATCTCATCAGCAGTTCAGTTCTCACCCTTGCTGGTCCCTGATGGACACAAGTTTTGTGGCAGCAATTCTTAAAAGTTGACAGTGCCCTGCATGCAGTGGGTAGAATGTTTGACATTTGAAGATAATTTGATTCATTTCTCACACACATACCACACAGAAGTTTTCAAATGTTCTGCCTTTATAATATTCATTTTATATTTAGATTAAAATTTTTTTACTGAGTTTTTTTTTTTGACACAGGGTATTGCTGTGTAGCTAGCCTCAAACTCTCAGTCCTCTGCCTCAACCTCCCAGTACTGGGATTAGCAGGCACATGGTGTCATGCCTGGCTACAAGAATATTATGATTTTAGTATAGCTAAGTAAATTCTAAACTCTTTTAAATTTTTTGGAAACCAAATACTGGAAGGCCTCCAAAATTGATTTTTTTTTCGGTTTGGCTGAAATTCAAATTTAAGTGGGCTTATGGTTTTGTTTTTGTTTTGGGTTCTGGCACCCAAACACACACCTCTTTTGGGTGGGTAGAAATGATTCAGGGCTGGGGTTTTAATCTGTTGCTTTTCTAAAGGCCCAATGATTTGTTTATTCCACTTTTACAGAATAAACTGAAAAAAAGGAGCCAGATGAAATTGTGAATCTGACTGATTTCAATTTTATTTTTCTGTGTGTATGTGTTTCATCACTGGGGTTTGATCTCAGGGCCTTAAGCTTGCTAGGCAGGCACTCTACCAATTGAGTTGACTGACTTCAGTATCACTGTGGCTTAAATAGACGTTTTCTGGTAACATTTCGCAACAGAAAGTAATTTATTTGTGTGCCTCCTGTGCTAATGCTAAATTTAGTTTTTACTTTACCTTTTTTTTTTATTTTTCAGCATTCCTATTTCCTTTATTTTCTCACAGTGGCAATCCTTTCCTATACCATTTAGATTTTAATTTATTTCACCATTGAGTTTCTTTTTGCCAGTATGGTGCAGCAGACCGAACAACAGCTTTGTAATCTGACAGACCTGGTTTTGAATCCTGACTTTCCCACTTAGTAGCTGTGTGATCTTTGCAGTGTGACGTCACTTGGGGACTCTCGTGTGTGGGACTGATGCAGTGTAGGTTACATGAAGCCCTTGCTTTTGTACCTGGAGCATAGAAGTGCAGGTTACCAGCCCTCTCCTGAGACGGTGTGGGAAATGAGGGTGCGCAAGGCAGCATCGTCCCTGTGGTTCATGAGCTGAGAATGTATCGATTTCCTAATTCCTTCTTTTCAGCTTAATCCTGTTTAGCTGTGCCATAAGAGCTTGAATTTTTAGTCCTATTCCTGCTCCCTTCACACAACTAGCAGTAATCTTTGATTTCCAAAAATTAATAGGAACAGCTGGGTGTAGTGTCACATGCCTGTTATCCCAGCACTTGGGAGGCTAAGGCAGGAGGATCATGAGTTCAATGCCAGTCTGGACTACATACCAAGACCCTGCTTCAAAAAACCAATAAACAAATACTAATGGGAATATGAAATGTCCATGAGACAGACCCCAGACAGACAAGAAGTAAATCACTGGCTGCCAGAAGCCTAAGAGAGAGGAGACGGGAAGGACTAGTTCATGGGATGCAGTTTCTCTTTGGGGTGATGACAGTGTTCTGGGAAAACCACTGAATTGCACGCACACTGTTAGGGGGCTCAAATAGCAAATTTTATCTACACACAATTCATAGGCGCCTGGCACAATGGCACACATCCGCAGGCCGCAGCTACTTGGGTGGCTGAGGTGGAATCACTTGAGTCCAGCAGTTCAAGACCAGCCTGGGCAACATAGTGAGACCCTGTCTCATCAACAGCAGCAATGACAACTTGATAGGGTTGCTTCTAGAATTCAGTATCATTTATGAGGTTACACCAGCATAATGTTAGCTGTTACGGCTGCTCCCTGCTTAGTGGGCACTGGGCTGTGTGATTTACAGTACAATCTTCAAGACTCATGACTTTGACTACATTGTTTTGCAGTTCTGTATTCCTTTCGTTTCTCTTACTTTATTGAGGCTTGGTACCCATTTTATGGTAACACTTTTTTTCTGGCATTACTGGAATTTGAACTCAGAGTCTCATGCTTGCTAAGCAGGTGCTGTACTATTTGAGCCACATTCCTATCCCGGTCCCCAACTTTCATTTAGAAATTTAAAGCTTATGATTTGCCTAGTTTTGGGAGTCTGGCACAATGCCTTCACTGCCCATATCAAGTTTTTCAACATTGTAAACCATTCTATTTATATTTTTTGCAGTATTGGGGCTTGAACTCAGGGCCTACACCTTGAGGCACTCCACCAGCCCTTTTTTGTGAAGGGTTTTTTTTTTTGAGATAGGGTCTTGTGAATTATTTGCCTGGTCTGGCTTTGAACCTTGATCCTCCTGCTCTCTGCCTCCTGAGTAGCTAGGGTTACAGGCGTGAGCCACTGGTGCCCAGCTTGTAAACCATTTTGTTAATCTCCACAATTTTGAGACATGATCACCTGTGTGTTATGAGAATTTATTCCCTCAAGTATATATTACACTGATTCCTTATTTATTATTTTTGTTTTTGCTGTTTGTTGTCTTGAGGTGATTCAGGGAAGACAGGAATTTTTTTTCTTTCTTGGAAGTACTGGAGTTTGAACTCAGGGTTTAGTGCTTACAGGTGTTCTACCACTTGAGCCACACACCTCCAGGCTAAGACAGTGTATTGTTTACGGTTACTTCTATCCTTATTTTATTTTTAAACTATAAGGGGCTCAGCCATGATTAGTGAAATGCATCTTTTTTTTTTTTTAGTTTAAAGTTTACAGTGGTAAGTGATCCTTTGGATGAAGAAAAGAAAGAATGTCAAGAAGTAGGATATGCGTATCTTGAACTGTGGCAGGTCCTTGAATCAGGAAGAGACATTCTGGAGCAGGAGCTGGACAGTGAGTAGTGAAATTTTTGTGCTTAATTCCATTTATTTCTAAAGAAAGCAGTCTAATAACAGATTTTTGTTTTACTTCGAAAACATAATTACTTCTGTGAAGCCGATGGGCAAACTGGATTGAAATCTTTCCCCACAACTTTATGTATTTCATTTCTGAATCAAGCAGGAAAATACCTGTATATTTTAGTCCCCAGATACCTTATTACAATTAAAATCTGTTTTGAATTTTCAAAGTTTGAGGTAGGGATCAAACATTTTTAAATTTCAGTCAAATTTAAAAATCAGAATTTCTGACCTCTCTTAATCAGATAAAATTTGTAAAGGCAACTAAGACCCCTTTTCTATAATGTGTCATCACGTAACCCCTCCCCCACCGCCAGGTTCACAGACACAACTCTCCTTACCCCCTCACCCGCCCCCCGTGATTTGTGTCATTGGTCACCACGTCTCAGCTACTCTACTTGTGTCTTGATTACATCCCCACTATTTTAGATATTTAAGTGTAATGTTTACTAAATCATGGTACAAAATTGTTCTTACTGACCATAATAAAATGTTTTTGTCAGATACTGCTCAGACTACAGATTATAAAGTTCAGACTTCAGCAGTACTGGGGTTTGAACTCAGGGTCTACACCTCAAGCCACTCTACCAGCCTTTTTTGTGATGGTTTTCTCGTGAACTATTTGACCAGGCTGGCTTCGAACGGTGATTGTCCTGATCTTTGCCTGTGAGTAGTTAGGATTGCAGGCGTGAGCCACAAATGCCTGGCCTCCCCTAGTCTTTCTAACTATGATCTTGAGCAAGTCACTTAACCTCTCTGTGCTAATTTCAACTAGAAAATAGGCAGTAGAACCTATTTGTGAAGACTAAGGGACACTTAAGTGAAGCACGTGGGAAGGAGTAGGCAGGCACTTGGCATATGGAAGTGCTATCGCTGTGTTAGCCATTTCCAGCTCTTCTAATTTCTACTCCTGCCCCACTCCTGAACATCCACGACCTCCATGCCTTTTTTACCTAAGGTCCTTAAGTGTTTTCTAGTGACCTCAAAAATCCCCTAAGCCAATTAATGAATGCCTTTTGATTCTTCAACTAGCAAAAGAAAAATTTGTAACTTTCTCATTATGCTCTTGTTTCCACTCAGGCTTTAAACATGTTGGGCTGAGGGTTGGGGTGTTGCTCAGTGGTGGAACACTTGCTTAGCATGTGTGAAGCCTTGGGCTTAATCCCTAGCATTGGTGGTGTGTGTGCTGATTGGTTCCTGTAAATGCTGGATTCTCCTGGTTCGATCCTGATCTTTTTTCTCCGCATATACTCTTTCTTGAGCTGGATAATTGTATCCACTTTAGGAGTTTTAATTATAGCCAAAAAATGATCTAAAACCTAGGTTTCTAGGGCAGAATTTTAAATGTATCTACATTTACAAGCAGGCTGATATTACTTGAAAGTCTGTTTGGTACTTCGGACTCCTGACCACAACTTTCTACCTTATAGTCCCGTGTCACCTCTCATTTATCTGGTTAAATGTGATTTAGAATGGTTATTTTCAATTCCTACCTCTTCCTTGTTCTGAACATCCAATTGTAAACTTGTTTGACTTCTGAAATGTTTTGAATTGATCCCTGCCTCTCCAGTTACTTTTGGCCCTCTTCATTTTGCCAGCTCCCCACATTTCTGCAAGAACTTGTTGCTTGTTTCCCAATAATGGAGTCATTTTTTTGGAATCCAGTGTTTGGGTTTGGATATGAAGTGTTCCCACAAAAAAGGCTACATCCTCAACTGGTGATGCTATCTATGGCTAGGTGATTGGATTATGAGGGTGTTAACTTAAATCAGTGGTGAGTTCATAGCCAACGGCCAGTTAGAGATGAGGACTAGAAGAGGAAGGTCACTGGTGGCATGCCCTTGAAGGGTACATCTTGCCTCTGGCCCCTTTTTTGCTTCCCCACACAGGGTGAGCAGCTTCGCTCTTACCATGCCCCCTCAGCCATGTTCTGCCTCACTACAAGCCCACAGCTGTGATGCCAAGATATCATGGACTGAGACCTGTCAAATTATGGGTCAAAATTAATCTTTTCTTGTCTAAGCAATTTTGTCACAGCAATGGAAAAGCTACTACAGGGAGGGACTTATCACTTCTAATATCCTCAGTTAAAATTTCTTAAAAGACAACACCCTGTGTGTGCTGTTTTTCTCTGCAGCCTCATTCCTGTCACTCTTGTAGCTTTCTAAACTTACGTTCTGTGTCTGGGTACATGCTTAGAATATCTTTTACTTTCTTAAAGACTTAGCTCATAGCTGGGTGCTGGTGGCTCACACCTCTAATCCTAATTACTTGGGAAGCTGAGATCAGGATTGTGGTTTGAGGCCAGCCCAGGCAAACAATTTGTGAGACCCCATCTTCAAAATAACCAGGGCAAAATGGCTTGGAGCTGTGGCTCAAGTGATAAGAGTGCCTACTTTGCATGCATAAAGCCTTGAGCCAAAAACCCTAGTCCTGGAAAAAATAATAAACAAACCCAGACAAACAAAACCCTACAAAACAGCTCTTTTTTCGTCTCCAGAAATCCTTCTCCAAGTCCCTTCTCCGTTTTGGCTGAGTGCCCCTTCTGTCTCCAACACTCTGAGCTTTTATTACAGCACCTACATACTACATTGGAATAACCTTGGCCTCCTTTCTCCTGTCCTGTGAAATGGGAAGTGGCTTCACAGATGCAGCACCCACTACCTAGCAAGGCAAACACAAGGTAGTGATTGTTCTGTTAAATGCTGCTGTGCTCATACTTCTTCTCTTTCCCACAGTTGTCAGCCCTGGAGACCAGACCGTCTCAATAGGAAGGCTGAAGGTTTCCCTTCAAGCAGCTGCGGCCCTCCATGATATTTACAAGGAGATGAACGAAGACTGTTTTCATGAAGGAACAAGTGCTAATCCATTCTAAAATCTGAAGGAATCGTAGTAAAAAGTCTCTTATAAAGTAACTTGCTATACCATAAGTTTGGTTTACTGCGCTATCTAGCATCTCTCAACCTAATGAGGAGGCCTAGAAAGTTGATTCTTGAGGTACACGATGGATAAAGGTGTTTCTTTGTAACACCTTAGTGCTTCAGTAGATGACACATGCTTTCAGGAACTGGTCACAAAAGCTGAATTACAAAAACAACACACCAACAAAAAAAACCCCACAGTTTATTTATCATTTAGTTCTTCCAAAATTGAAAATATCAAGTTCTACTGCTAAGGAGAAAAACAAACAAACAGACAAACATAAAATATGAGACCCCCTCCCCCTATTCTCTTAAAGTCACAGAACACGGAAGGAAGTGCAGTGGGACAGGTGGGTGCAGAGAACCAGAAGGGGAGGATGGCAAGAAAAATTTCCCCATACTTAAAAAGCTGTTCAACAGAAACTTTGATAAATATAGGACAATGCAGGACAAGTAAAAATAAGAAGCAGCAGTGCCAAGAGGCTGTGTTGTAGACATGGCCTCCCTTCCTCTTCTCTTTTCTCATCAAGATATTCTAGGCCCAAGGCATGACTTGCCCCTTCCAGATCTAAATGTTGAATCCTTTGAGCCACCCTCTAGATTTCACTTGGAGTAGTCTATGAGGCACAACCATTCTTCCTTAGATATCTCAGAAGAGACAGCAGTAATTTTGCCTTCTATCATTGTACCATGTGTCAACTTGTAAGGAGAAAAATGGAGCCAGGGAGTGTCACTGCTTCGTATGTCTTCCAAGGCAGCAGAAATACCTCAGAATACGCATGAGGCAAGAAAACAGGAGAACTCAAGATGAAGGCAGCAGCCCAATCTGCCTCACTAGCTCAAGTTGTATGGTTTTATCACAATTCTTGGCACATTCCAAGAACCTTTTCTTGAGTACTGTAAAGACGGAACTTAAAGAGATGCGTGGAAGGTCATGGCAGTAGGGTAGGATGGAGGACTGAACCTGCTGGTCAAGAACCATGGTACACAGGCAGTAAAGGATCACTGTGTACCAATGTCTTGGAAGTACAGCTTTGAGACACCAAAGATAAGATGTCAGAAGCCACTGATGTCCTGGCAGAAGGTGACAGGAAGAGAGGGATGAACGGTATTTTTAACAGCGGGAACCTCCGCCCTTCTTCAAGAACACCTCCTCCTCCCTTGCCATCTGAATGGGCCACTGGCACATGTCCTGGTGGGCCTGGAATTCCCCGAGTAGATTGGTCCACACATATGGCCCTCTAAACCCATGAACACAAATGGCAAAACTTGAAAGAAAACAAAAGGAAAAATACAGTTTCAATGTCATGTAAAATTTTTAGGAGTTGGCTGGAGGAAGAATGGAGCTGAGGGTCAAAAAGTTCAGTGTTACTTCCTCTTTTTCTTGGGGGGTGCAGAGCTGTGTCTGGAACCACGGTTAGAGCCACGGCCTGAACTGTGTACAGATGCCTTTCTCTTCCGGCTCATACTCCGACTCTGTTCTTCTTCTTCCTCGTAACGACTTTCACGGTCCGCTAAACATAAGAGTCATTATTAGCACTGGAAACCATGGAATAGTACAGAAAATTTACTTTGTAGTCAGTCTAGAGTTTTAATCTTTATTCAGTCACTTGTTAGTTAGATGACTTAGGGCAGGTTGCTTAACCTGAGCCTCTACTTATAAAGAGAATTATTTAAGGATTAGAAAAGTTTTCATTTTAAATTTGTATTTGGGATTTGGTTTCAGAGTAACTAGATTAGCTGGATTAGTCTTACATATCTATGTGGTTATCATGTACACAATGGGGACTTCAGTAAATGAAACAATCATCCAGTCAGGTGGAGTCATGCCCACATTCCAGACCTTATTTCTCCTTTGGTCAATGAAAGTATAGCTGTGGCTCCAATCAGTTTTATAGTTTTCTTTTTACTCAGTAGGCTACTAATACCAACACCTCCAAATACAGAAATGTGTTAGAAATCTGTCATAAATGAATGAATAAATAAACCACTCCAAACAATTTTTTCTAACCTTTTCGGGCTTCTTCTTCCAGTTCATCCCAATCCTTCCCACTCTCTTCTTCACTGCCCAGTGATTCCTTGGAATAGTCTGGAACAGTATTGATCACACATTAGTCATGCAGGAATGGAATGATGGAACCTCCCTCCCCTCCCTTAAAAAAAAATAGTTTCTAGAAATCACATTATAAGAAATTATCTGTCCTGGCTACTAAAGACTAACCTGATTCTTCAGCTTCTGATGAATAATCTTCATCACTGTCCTCCTCTTCCTCTTCATAGTCATCCTCTGAAGGGTTGAAAGTCTCATCTTCGATTTCAGACTCTGAATCCCCTTCCTCAGCATCACTCCCCTGCATTGTTAAAAAGAATGTGAACACTGCACTGTCCACATTGTTTTACATTCACCTTACTAACTTAAGGAATTAATTTAACCCACTAGTACACTAGCATTTTATATGCAAAAACAAAAGACCTGAGTGACCAAGATGTAAAATGACTTGTCTAAAATTACTGCTAAGGTATAGTTATTAGATCTTTAAACATCTAATTTCTCTCTCTCCCTTTCAATCTTTCTCTCTGCTCCTGAGAAGACGGATTTTTTTTTTGTTTTGTTTTTGGCAGTCCTGGTGTTTGAACTCAGGGCTTTGTGCTTACAAAACAGATGCTCTACTGCTTGAGCCACACTTCCAGTCCCAGAAACTCTTTGTAAAGCCAGGCACCAGTGGCTCACACCTGTAGTCCTAGCTACTCAGGAGGCTGAGATCAGGAGATCATGGTTTGAAGCCAGCCCAGACAACTTGGAAAAACCCATCACAAAAAAGGGTTGGTGGAGTGGTTCAAGGTGTAGATCCTGAGTTCAATCCCCAGCACCGTTTAAAAAAAAAAGACTCTTTGTAACAATGTACTGTGCAAAGGTGGGAGAGTCATTTTTTTAGAAAGTAATTTTTGTAACATGCCCTCAATTTCTTCTTTTCAAATGCTAAAAAAACTCAAAGAGGAATGGTTTTTATAATTTTGAAGAAGCCTTGTTAAGTGGCTACCAATGCCCAATCAGTTTATAAAACTATTCTTGTATTCACAGCTTCTCCCAGGTGCTCTGTTCCTCATGTGGTACCTGTAGGCCATTCTCTGAATTGCCCAAGATAGCAGGCAACACTGCATAATGAAAAAGAAACCTCACACACACGCACCTCACCCTCAGGTTCCAAGAAAGACCAGCCACCTTGTTCGAAGAAGCCCTCAGGGTCATCCACAATGGTCTTCATGATTTTAGTCCAATTGAGGGACTGTACTCCTTCTGTATACTTTAGGTCACAAGAACTGAAATGATACATAAAAATCAGAATAAATGCCTACTGTCCACTTGATTGTTAGCACTGTGAAGAGCAAGATTTCCTCCTATTAAATATATGAGGGCAAATATTCTTTGCATCATGCCACCAGAGCATGCCCAAATGACTGACATTCGATCTCCCAGAGCACTAAACCTCACAACAAAGTAGCATTCTGACTGCAGCAATCTTCCCTCAACCAACCAAATCTGACCTCATCCTCTCCCTCCCTTACATTTCCTTCCTTAAGCACCAATTTCCCTGTCTTCACTTATCTTCCCTCCTACTCATCCATTCTTTACCCTTCCCCACGCTGATTCCACTCTTAATCAGGAGTAATCCTAACTCATAACCGCTTCTGTGATTCTTATTTTTCAGCTTCTATCATGTACACTACTGTAGTAAGAAATGGGGACAATTTCCACTGCTCCTTTCTTCCCCTTAACATTCCACTGCTTTCCTAGGTCTTGTTTACTGATGAAAGTTCTCTATGAACACAGGGGCCCATATTTCTAAAGTGCCTTGAATTCGTAAGATGCTCAAATGAGTGTCACAACTTGTATTTAGCATTATATAAGAGATCGTAGACGGTGCAATAAAGCAAGAAAAAGAAATTGGCACAAAGTAAAATTACTTGTGGATGATATGACTGCATACCCAAAGGAAATTCAAGGGAATTGGTAAAACAGCTACTACTAGTGAGTTTAGCAAGACTGCAGAATTATGTAGTCAATATGTAAGCTTACACTATATTTTAATACTATAAATACCATTTATAATCACTTTGAAAAGCATGAAATATCTAGGAATAAATTTAACAAAAACCATGAACTGTCAATTGTATATTAGCAAACAATGCTAAGAGAAACTGAGAAAGACCAGGTTGGTGGAGTGGCTCAAGTGGCAGAGTGCCTACCTAGCAAGCCTAGCAAGAGTGAGGCCCTGAGTTCAAGCCCCAGTACCGCCAAAAACAAACAAAAAGAAAAAAAAAAAAAAAAGAGAAATTGAACAAGACCTAAAAATAAATGGAGAAGTAATTCCATGTTCATAGACTGAAGACCCAATATTGTCCTTCTGGTCTAATTATCTCCAAATTTATATACAGATTCAATGCAAACTATCAAAATTACAGCAGACAATCTAAGGAAATAAGCAAATTGGTTCTAGTTTTGTAGAACAGCCAAAATAATTTTGAAAAGCAAGTTGGGGGACTCATAGCATGTGACTTCAACAGTTACTACAAAGTTATAATAATATGGCACTGTTATATAATGACAAACATATATTAATGCAGAAGAACACAGTCCACAACTCTCTCTTACATGATTTTTTTTTCTTTGACAAAAATGACAAGGACAAGGGCATTTTCAGTAAATGATGCTAGAAGAATTGGCTATCTATATGTAAAGTATGAACCTTCAATCATACACTACAGTAATAATTTAACTTCCCCAATCATGTAAAACTAGAAAATTTTTATGACCCTGGACTAGACAAAACCTGATAGGAAATGAAAAGCACAAAGTACAAAAGAAAGAGCTGATCAAACAGATGTCATCAAAAATTTGTTTTTCATGTCTTTAAAGGACAATTAAAAAATGAAGAGGCAAAGAGCCCACTGGAAGAAAAGAAATGCAAACTCTACTTAATTAGGGACTTACATCCAGCTTAAAGAATTCTCAGAACTCAGTAATAAGACAAGAAATATTATTTTAAAAACAGGCAAGAATATGAGCAATTATTTCATCAATAAAGGTATAGAATGGCACATGAGAGCAGTGTGTAGTGATACACACGTGTAATCCCAGCACTTGGGAGGCAGAGAAAGCAGGAGGCCAGCCTGGGCTACATAGTGAGATTCTGTCTCAAAAACCAAACCAAACCAAACCAAAACGGACGCATGGAGTGCAGGGAAAGGCTGAGAAAACTGTACTCATGGCTACCAAAGTATAACTTAGATAGTGATGCTGTTTATTAGGATCCTCTTACTTCCATGACACAGTTTTTGGTTTGAATATATGATCATCAAAAAAACAGTCTCTCTTTTTTGGGGGTGGGGGTAGATGGGAGTGGGGTTGAAATAGGGTCTCATTATGTAATCCAGGCTAGCCTCAAACTCATGGTCCTCTTGCCTCAGCCTCCTGAGTGCTGGGATTACAGAAGTACATCACTATGTCTGGAATATACACCTATCAATCAATCAATCAATCAATCAATCAATCAATCTGTCTGTCCATCTATCATCTATCTATCTAACCATTCTTGAATAATTAAAACCTATCTCATCTTTCAGTAAATCAGACCTAGTAGACTGAGGGCATGGCACAAGTGGTAGGGCAGCTTGAGACCCTGAATTTAATCCCCAGTACCATCAAAAAACAAACTAGCTAGTAAGAAGAATGTCACCCACTTTTAACTAATGAACTGTTACATGTGCATACCTATCTTTGTACACGTATCAATTACACATATAAAACTTCTTAAGATTTTTATTTTCTTCATGTACTAAGTATCCATAAACTACTATTGGCTATTAGTATTAGCTATTGGCCTCAAATTTTCAAGTCACAATCTTTAACTTAACCGGAAGGCTGCCTTACCTAAAGTACATCAGCTTTTTTATTTTTTAAGAAGAGATAGCATCTTGATATGAGCCCTGGACTGGCCCCATACTCTCGGCTAAGCAACCTCCTGCCTCAGCCTCCTGAGTAGCGGGGGCTACATACACTACTGTACCTAGCCACCTGTAGTTTTTATGTATAACATACCATACAAATTTTGTAATATAAGGTACACAAAGGGAGAATAGGAGATTGCGGACAGATTTACTTACTTCAACCATTCCTTGATGGGGTCAAGAGAGGCTACAGGAATGGCATTGATCATTGTCACCTTCTTGCTGTAGTCCTTGTAGACAATTACCATATCAAAGTTCTTTAGGTGAAACTGGACCCTCTCAAAATGGATAAGCTCCACTTCATCCAGTGTCACCACAAAAGGTGGCTGTCAGATAGGAACTGGAGTTATTACCACATAAATACTTGCCCCTAAACACTAGTATTTTCAAATGCTTTCAGGATTTAAATCACTATCCAAAGGAAAACTCAGTTGTTCTTTGGTGTTTTTGAAAGAATAAAAGCAATACAACACAAGAAAAACCCCTCATAAAAGCACCCACAAGATTAAAATTTTTCAAGGAGAATAAGTTTAAGGAAAACTGTGAAGATACTGATTTAAAAAAAAATTCTGAAAGTGATTTTTGTTCAATGAATTTTTAGTGTAAGTAAGTACTGAAAATAAAAATCAGAATAATCAGGATCAAAACATCTACCCCTCCTGCTTTCTTTTCTCTAAGTTTTCTTACTAAATGAAAGCAAGAGGGTTGGGGGTGTAGCTCAGTGGTATAGCATATACTTAGTATACACCATGCCCTGGATTCAATCTCCACCATCACACCAAATACATAAAATAAATAAAAGGAGGTAAGAGATACTCACCCATTCTGTAGCATTTACCAGCGCACTGCTAGTGGGCTGGAGGAGGCAAGTACTCCTATAGGGAGCCCCATTAAATCTGAAAGACAGTATGAAACTCACAAGGATGGGCTCATCACAAGTGAAACCTCTGTTGCCACAATGACAAACCTTCCTCTGCCCCTGCCAAACACAGCTCCCGCAGGCTCACTGGAGACTTACCTCCAGAGGAAGCCCCTTAGCCTTAGATACTCATACAAACCGCTAACTTTTTTAAGAGGGATTTCACAAAGGATGTGATGCTATGCTAAATTACTATCAAAAAAAAGAATCATACGTTTTCCTAAGAGGGAGAGCAGTGAAACTTTAGGCCAAAAAGAAGATGAAGTATGTTACCCCAAGTCCCTGAAAGGCACTTCAAATTCCAGTTCCTCCTTTGTCAGAGCCTCTACTTTTTCTATGAAATTTTTAAAAGCTGTTTTCAGTTTATGCCTCATTTCTCTTTCCATCTGTAGAAGAAAATATATACTTATGTTTATCAAGTTACTTAACAGTACTTCCCCTCAAAAAGTCTTAAGTATCTTTATAGTCTTTAATTCTCATAACTACAATATTAATATGTACACCTTACTTAAGGCAACCATAGCATTAAAAAACCATCGAGGTGAATCTACAACTTACATCTAACTCATAAGCTATGCCACAATTCATATATAACCTCAGATATTTGAGTTCTTCTCACAAACAGATTCAGGAGTATAAAATAATTCCTGTCTAGCCACACAGGCCTATGCCTGTACTCCTAGCTATTGAGGAGGTGGAGGTCTTGAGTTTCAGGCTAGTCTGGGCAAAATTAGTGACATGCTACCTCAAAACAAGTGGCTCAAGTGGTGCCAGGCTCTTCGTTCAATCCCCAGTATTGCAAAAGTAAATAAAAATACAATTTCTTAGCTCAGATTTTGATCTCATCCTCCCTCGTTACCCCTGCAAATACAATACCAAATTCCTCACACCTGCTCAGCATAGAGGTCATCTCGGTCATGCATGTGCTGATGTTTCCCCAAGTCAGTGGTGATCTCTCCCACTTCTGTGTAGAACTGCACATCTGTATGCCGCTTCTTCCCAAACATGATGGCATTCTGAGGCCATAAAACAGAAAGAAATCAGAACACTCAGGCCATCTAATCACAAAGAGGAAAGATATGAGAAACAGAATAGAAAAACATAAAAAAAAAATCTGTATTGGAAATGGCAGTGATCAAAATTTATGCCTCCATACCATCATTTAAAAATAAACCATCCCTGGTGTCATCAAAATGATACTTGGGATGTGAGAGAGTATATTTTTAAAAGTACTCGCATTTTATTTGAAAAGATTTTGTAGACTATGTTGGTAATGGAAAATAAGTTCAGAGAAAACCTTACATGTTTGGGGTCATAATATGAAAGAGGCACACATGCTCAGTGCTTCTGAAACACTAGGGACTGTGAACACATACTCAAGCCTCTTAGTGATCTTATGTAACCGGTGATGTTTTCCATCAGTATTTCACATGAAACAAGCTGAGAAAAATTAAGTTTTTTGCCTCAAAGCTCAAAATTATAGCTAGTTAGGTAGAAAGGTGTACCTTGAGGTGAAAGTGCAAGACAATAATCATTTCTCCATCACAGGGCTGGAACAAAGCATGTTTAATATTATTGTACAGAATATCCACTTTATCTCCTCTAACAGATGTGAAGCGGAAACCTGGGAGAAAAGAAGCAGCAGCTAAATGTCAAGCAGTATCATTAGGTTAGGCTAAAAGGCACTGCATCTCCTCTGACTTGAACAGGGTGAGAGGAAACTCTAACATTATATATAGCTTCCCCTTTCTTCTGATGTAGCATTTCTTTGTCACAGTGTAGGATCTGATCTGTTATTCCTACAAATGTGCCCCTGAAGACAAAAGTCCAGGCACACGAGAGATCTCCTGCACATACCATTGACATGAGCCTCTAGTGAGCCTTGCATCCTCTTCTGGGCAATGTTTGGGCGAATGTACAGATCTTTGAGTTTGGGATTACTCCGGTTTAGATTGATCACCAGTGAGTCTTGTTTCACAATACCCTAAACGGTAAGAAAAGTAATGTGAATGCCAGTGAGCTACAAAGTACTGAACCAGGTTTATTTTTTGTGGGACTGGGATTGAATTCAGGGCTTTGCACTTGCAAAGCGGGTACTCTACTGCTTGAGCCACACCTCTAGTTAATTTTACTCTGTCAAATCAACCTGTATTCTTAACCATCACCCAAATGTTACTTCCCAAATTATAGTTCCTATAAGAAGAGGCCTTGGTGGTATTGTGCCTTCCTATAGTTCCTAATGAGATCAGAGAATAAAAACTATATTCAATGTCAAAGATTTTAAAATCCAGAAGGCTAGAAGTACTGTCCAGCTATATGCTAGGTTAGAAAATGAAAGTGCTCCCAAAATATGTGTCCTTTTGCACAAAGGTGCTTTGTCTATGTTCAGGCTCACCTCCTTTTCTTTCTCTTCTGCTTCTCGAGTCTTATAACGTTTCTGTACTTCTTTTATAATTCGGAAAGCATTCTGAAGATTCAAGGCTGGTACCGTCTGTTCTCCAGGAGCCTTCATATTTGAAGCACGATATGTACTGTAGAAAAGGGGAAGCATTTATAGAACTTTATCAGACATGGTAACATGTGCCCTCTACTCCAGTTTACAACTGACTGGGTATCTTTAAGAAAAACATACCAGTAAATGTGAGAAGGCTTAGAAAATGGAACAAAAAAATCTACCTTTCTTCTCTCAAATCAAGATTACAAATAGCTAATACACTGGGCTAGGGGAAATTACAATTATTTTTCAAATTTGGCAGAACATCTCAAAATTATTCAATTCCGCTCTAATGTGGTACACATTTTCTTACTTTAGGATTTTATTACGAAATATGTATGGTAAATATAAAATATTCTCATGAGAAAACTTCCAGGGATTACCACTTCAGACACTAGGGATGTGGTGCTGGTTGTTTTCTGGGGACTCACATTTCCTTGACAAAAGTGGCTTCAGGATTAGGGAAGATGTTGCCCTCATTCCTGCCCAAAGCACTGCCCGGGCAGTAGAAGTTGATTCTCAAGTAAGTATAATCTCCTTCCACGGACATGCTTATGTTCTGTTTAAGGAAGAGAATATAAAAATCAGCAACTTTCCTAGATGATTGGTAGTTATAGAGATGCAAAAATTTAGTTACAAAATTACTGTTTAAAAACCTTAACCTGGAAGCCTTAATCTAAATCTAGTGAACATATTTAGAATACTTAAAAATTTGATCTAATGTCTGTTTGCGAAAAGAATTGCTGAATTTTCAAAGTATCTTGTGCCATATATACACATGCAGGTCAAACAGTGCTTAAATCAAATCCACGATAGGCAAGTTGTATTACGAGACTAGTTGAGCATTCCACAAAGTGAAAACTGGAAGGGAAGGAAAATGATAGCAGGAAAGGGAAAAAGTAGAAAGTCAGTAAACTGAGAAGTATAAAGTTAAAAAGCAGAGTGGGAGAGATGATACAAATTACTTATGGCAGGACTGGGGGCATGGCTCAAGTGGTAGAGTGTCTGCCTAGCAAGTCCACGGCCCTGTGTTCAAGCTCTAGTACTACCACCACCAAAGGGGGAAAAAAAAAAGAAAAAAAAAAAAAAGGGACAGATTACTTATGGCAAGCACTAGTATTTTTACGAATAGTGTGGATGAAACCCGATGCAATGAGTATTAGTACCTTGATTGTGGCAATGTGAAAAGGTGTTGCAATGCCAAACACTGGCATTATTACAGTCTCGTATTTCTTATCAATGTAGATCTTCATTTCCCGAATATGTGGTTCTTTCGGCATCAAAGATGGGTTTTTATAGGATACGTTAGATTTGCGAGCTCTGTAGTGGAATTAAAAAAAAAAAAAAAACCTGAGAAATGTATGTGGTCACATATAACCCTAAGATATCTCACTGCTCAACCCAAGTTCTTACTTTTGAATCTGCTGCTCCCCTTTCTGCTCAGTCAGTCGCCTCTTTGCTTCCTCATTAAGCTGAGCTGCCAGTTCTTTTTGATGTGCTCTTCGCTTCTCTTCTGCAGTCATCTCATTCTAGTGCAGGGAGAACCCAAGTTTTCAGAACATGGCAATCATATGATAGGTATGAGATCCATGTAATTTAAAGCAGTGAACTCACTCGTGTCCTTTCTGTAAGCAATGCTGCCCGAGAACCTCTTCCCAAAAGATCCTCTGCCTCATCTTTCTCTTCCTCTTCCTCTTCTTCATCTTCATTCTGTGGGAAAAAGGCACAACAAAAATATTTAAGTTTAGTTGTTTTAGCCAATCTTATTTAACTTCTTCACTGCACTGAAGCTCCTATTATCACTCATCTTTTTCCTACCTTTAGGAAAATCCCCACATTCTTTACTTTCTTCTTCACAGAAGTAAGAACAGTGGCTGGACCATCCTAGAATAAAAAGGAGAATTGAGACATCTAATTTAAACAAAGCACTTTCATTTTCTGACTTAGCATATATCTGGGCAGTACTTCCAATCTTCTGGATTTTAAAATCTTTGACAATGAATATAGTTTTTATTCCCTGATCTCATTAGGAACTATAGGAAGGCACAATACCACCAATGTCTCTTCTTCTTATAGGAACTATAATTTGGGAAGTAACATTTGGGTGATGATTAAGAATACAGGTTGATTTGACAGAGCAAAATTAACTAGAGGTGTGGCTCAAGCAGTAGAGTAACTGCTTTGCAAGTGAAAGCCCTGAATTCTAACCCCAGTCCCTCCCCCTGGCCGCCACACACAAAAAAGCTTGGCTCATTTACTTTCTAGCTCATTGGCACTTGTTAGGTTACTTAAACTTCTTGGGGATTTCACATTTCTTAATTTGTACATGGGTATAAGAGTAACTATAAAGATTTAAAGAGTTAATATGGAAAAAGTGCTTATCACTATTAAAACTCAACTCCTTGTAAGTAAAGGAAGTCAGTTATAAGAGACCACATGAACTGTCCCAAATAAGCCAATCTTTAGAGGCAGAACATTGTTCAGTAACGCCTAGGCCTGGAAACCTGAAGGGGAGAAGAGGAAATGGGAGTCACTGCTGATGGGTTCAGGGTTTCTGAGGTGATGAAGAGGTTCTAAAATTAGATTGTGGTGATGCCTGCATTACTGTGAATTTACTAAAATTCACCAAATTGTAATATAAAAATTGTACATCTGAAGTGAGTGAATTGTATGGTATATGAACTACGGCTCAGTAAGTTCTCATTAAAAAAGGAAGGACCATCATTAAAATTAGTTTCTGGTATCATTATCGAGGCTTCAGTAGTTTGATTGAAATAATTTCCCATGCCTGGGTCACAATCTGTATCCCTGGCTGCACTATATAATACTATCTCATGGACAACCCCCTCAGCTAAGGTTTCACAGACACAAAACCCTGGAGGGGTTCAAAAGCCAGTTTGTGAACACTGGATGTTTAAGAGGCAACACACACCTCATCCACAAGCACTGTGTCACCAATGAACAAGGCGTAAGTTTTCTCTTCTGGTTTTTTCCCTTCCTTGTTAGTTAGGTCTGAGAATCCCAAATTGATGCTGAAAACCATCCCTGAAATAGTAAAACAGTGGTCAGTGTGTGGCTATGAAAAGATGGAGAAGAGTCAGACTTACAAAGAAAGGGAAAGCTGAAGGGGATTACTTGAAAACACTTGAAAACTTACCTTTCTTTAGTTTGTACTGATTTTTACTATTGATTACTAGAGAGCCTTCACGAAATTCAATTCCCATTCCAAATCTGAAAACAAACAAATATCAGCAATAGATTAAAAGATCTGTAATAGGGACCAAGGGTAATATATTCATATCAATTTTGAAGATGAAACAGATAAACATAGGAAAGTGATTTGCCCCTGCTAACCAGTTAAGGAAGAGGTTTCAAAGATAAAGTTGGCTTCTAAATACATGTATTATCCCCTGTTGTAAAATAATTTCACAAGTATCTCCTGTAATATTTATTGTAAGACTTCTAAGAATTACTATATGCTAATGAAAAAACTAGAAACACAGTCTTCTTAAGCTTATTTACCCTCGCTTAAATTTTAATCTACAATAAAATCAAGTAAGATTTCCTATAAATAAATTAGCACACTGTTAAGGGATACATTATCAAGACAGTAATAACTAAAGACAGACAATTTTCACTGGAACAGTGACCATCAGATTCGTAAGACCTAATATCAAGAAAGAATTCAGAAAGAAACTGTATACCCTAAAGTAGATTTCATCTAAAGAGGCTGTCTAGAACTGTTTCTTTGTTAAACAAAGTTCTTTGTTCTGTTCCACGTTATTAGGCATTTCTATTTTCAAAGGCTGAATACATTTGAAACACTGTATTAAATGAAATTTCAAAATGAATCAATAAAACATCAGAATCTCTCAGAATAATTTGCAAATATAAGCTATTTTGATCCTGGAACACCCATTGGCTGGAACACTATACTGGTCTAGAAAAATCTTTATTCTTTGTACCATTCACCTGGGAGGAGAAAGCAAGTCTGTCTTACTTTCTCTGATTAACACCATATGCTTAGCATACACATAAGGATGTTAGTCCAAAAATATTGGGAAAAAAAATCAATCAGCTGGTCTAAGAAATAGACTACTGTCAGTCATGAAAATTGACTCATAGTGAAATACATATTTCCACATACCCTAGGTTTTTGGTAATTTTGTTAAGAAGCTCTGGCTTTTGCTTTTTAACCACATCCATGACAGCGTTATATACATCACATATCTTCACACCTAGTAATAAGACAGAAAGCGAACATTAAAGTATCTTTCTGAGGAAAAAAACCCCCAAACCCAAAAGACTTTGTTTTCTCAAAGTGTGAACTGAGGAGTTCAGAGTGTCAGGGATGACTGGGGACTATGAATTCGCATTTTTAAACAGTCCATCGGCTTGTATTGTGGTCTTGGGGATTGAAGTCACTCTTAATTACTCTGCTTGAGAATCACTCAGGGGAGGACTGTGGAACGTCAGTTTAGGGTTGAGTTGATTCACAGTGAATACTTAGACCTGTGCTGTCAATGAATGGAAATTCTATTTAAGAAAGTGTATTTCTTTATAGAGCTGTGTCATACCATCCTTTGGGATGTCTCCTCTAATATAGATGTTAGGACAGTACTGCATCATACCTCTGTGATGTAAAACATCTTGTATCTGCTTTATGATACATAGTAGTGACTGCACTTTATCAGAGCTGGTTTTAATGTTTTTCTCAAATGTTTTCTTTTCAGATGATGACTGAGAAGCTAATAAAGCAATGATTCCAGGTACAGTAACAGTAATAAAACTTTAATGTTTTGTTCTTATCTTTTTTTTGGTTATAAGTGGGGTTTGAACTCAAGGCCTCAAGCTTGATAGACAGGTGATCTACCACTTAAGCCAAACCACCAGCGCCCCGAACTCTTTTTTTTTTTTAAATGGAGTGTACTTGATGATTTTATAATTTTTTTCAGATGACTGCAGAATGCGGTAAAGCTGCTGCTGCTATAATGGTCTTTTTAGATAAACACACACACACAAATTTGAATTTTTAGAAACTTTAGCTATGTTGTCAACCATGGAAAAAAATATTCCAGTATTGAATTGGCATGTTACAGAAATTTAAGAGCCATATTGATCTAGAAACATTAAACTTTTTTCCCATTTGTACAGAGATAAGGCATAAAATTTGTAAAGTTTAATATAAATAGGTATGACTACAGAAACTTATACAGTATTCTCTAAATAAGGAAAAAGTGATGTTATCACATAAAGTTATTATACATCTTGAAAAAAAAAAAGCCCCCTGTAGTAGACATGTTTCATTCATTTCTAAATGTGAATTATTGTTTGAAGACTCTAGCCTAAGTCATGCATGGTGGCAAACTACTGTAAATTCCAACACTCAGGAGGCTAAGGCAGGAGGATCTCAAGTTTCAGGGCACCTTGGTCTATATAACAAGAAACTGTCTCAAATAACTCTCTGTTTTGTTTTTTTTTGGTGGTACTGGAGTTTGAACTCAGGGTTTCCTGCTCTCAAAGCAGGAGCTCTACTGCTTGAACCATACCTCCAGTCCACTATACTTTGGAGATGGGGTCTCACAAACTATTTGCCTGAGTTGGCCTTGAACCATGGTCCTCCCAATCTCAGAGCTACTGGCACCTAGCTAAAAAAAAAAAAGAACTTATAAACTTTGATTTATTTATTTTTGATTTTTATGGTGGCTTCAAAGGGATCTTTATTCTCATCATACGCTCTATGGCTATGATTTCAACAGGCTTAAGAACAGTTCCATTTAGCTAACTAAAAGTCAAGTCCATTGCTTTTTATTTATTTTTTTCAGTTCTGGGGATTAAAACGTAGGGCTTGAACATACTAGCAAAGCACTCTACCACTTGAGCCACATCCCTAGTTGTTCTGGAGATAAAGTCTCATTAACTTTGCCTGGGCTGGCTTCAAAAAGTGTTGTATTACTTAGAAGGGCTGCTACTTACTCTATTCTCACACTGAGATTCATTTATTCAATGTAGGATTAACATACATTCTGTTGGTAAAGACAGTAGTTCTCAGACTTTTCTAAAATAAAGAAGAGTTAAGTGTTTTGTGAAGATCTGGACAGAAAGACCTAACAAATTAGAAGTTTCTGCAAACATCAGTGTAAACTACAATGATCTCTCCTGTCTGAAAGAAAAGTAGATTCAAGAAATGAATGCTACCTGCACACCCATGTTTACTGCGGCACTATTCACAATAGCCAAGTTATGGAAACAGCCAAGATGCCCCAGCACTGACGAATGGATTAAGAAAATGTGGCATCTATACACAATGGAATTTTATGCAGCCATGAAGAAGAACGAAATGTTATCATTCGCTGGTAAATGGATGGAATTGGAGAACATCATTCTGAGTGAGGTTAGCCTGGCTCAAAAGACTAAAAATCGTATGTTCTCCCTCATATGTGGACATTAGATCAAGGGCAAACACAACAAGGGGATTGGACTTTGAGCACATGATAAAAGCGAGAGCACACAAGGGAGGGGTGAGGATAGGTAAGACACCTAAAAAATTAGCTAGCATTTGTTGCCCTTAATGCAGAGAAACTAAAGCAGATACCTTAAAGCAACTGAGGCCAATAGGAAAAGGGGACCAGGAACTAGAGAAAAGGTTAGATCAAAAAGAATTAACCTAGAAGGCAATACACATGCACAGGAAATTAATGTGAGTCAACTCCCTGTATAGCTATCCTTATCTCAACTAGCAAAAACCCTTGTTCCTTCCTATTATTGCTTATACTCTCTCTTCAACAAAATTAGAGATAAGGGCAAAATAGTTTCTGCCAGGGGAGTGGGGAGGGAGGGGGCAGACGGAGTGGGTGGTAAGGGAGGGGGTGGGGGCAGGGGGGAGAAATGACCCAAGCATTGTATGCACATAAGAATAATAAAACAATTAAAAAAAAAAAAGAACTGAATGCTAGGATGATTCAAAGTTAGTAAAATCTTACTCTATTTTTTTCTATGAGAGCCGTGGGAGTATAAATTCACACCAACATTTTTCTAACATTATTTCCAAACTTTTTCTAAAGTACCTTACCATGTCTTAATTCCTTTAGCAGTTCTTCTTGAAGCTGGAGCAAAAAGTTGTAATTTTCTTGAACTTCCTGAGAAGGGTCAACCATCAAGGTGCGAACAAGGTTGGAGCAGTAAGATTTGAAACGAATACCCATGGCACAAGTGATGGCCCCAAAATGCATATGATTCTTGTCACTAGAGACCAAGGGAAGAAAGCATTTAATTACCAAAACTAGCAAAGTATCATTGGCATACAACATCTGTAACCATTATTTTCCTTGTTATACACTCCAAAGCAATGGCTGAAAAAGATTTGTTAGTTTTCAACAAACACCAGTTAAAGGCTCTGAAGTAAAAAAAAGTTGCTACTTGGGAGGCTAAGATTGGGAGGATCAAGGTTCAAGGCTTGCTCAGGCAAAAAGAAGGCAGACAGATTATGAGACCTCATCTCCAAAATAAGTAGATCAAAATGGACTGGAGGTGTGGCTGAAGTGGTAAATGCCTGCTTTGCAATTACAAAGACCTGAATTAAAACCACAGTCCCACAAAAAAAAAAAAAGCAGCAGCTACAGAAAATGGAGCATCAACTCTTGGCACTCCTTTTAAGATTAAATGGGATGAAAGTCATTTAGGTGGTAATGAGGGAGGACGCATGAGGATAGGGAAAATAAGATTAATAAGTACTAAAAGGGCCAAATCCAGACATTAGAATCAGGAAGCAAAAACTGAAAAACCAAATAGCAGTGAGCTCTCTTCTCATCACCTCCTTTAGTTGCTACGTTACAAGGACAGGGAGACATAGAGGGGCTATCTACATCTCCAGGCAGGGCTCCTTAAAAGGACAGAAACATAAAGAATGAAAGGCAAATCTGGTAAAGGAAATCCTAAAACTTACCTATTGTCCCTATGATTTGAGTAGGCCTAAATCATATCTCATGTTTTAGAATAATAAACACTATCATCCTACCTACCCAGAAACCACCATCTAAGGATTAGGGTGTATTCCCCCAGCTTAGAAAAACATATATGCCACAGATGAGAACCACGTTTTAAGTCTTTACTCCCATTTTCTGCCTGGGGAACAGGAAATGTTTCTCCCTTTTCCACCATGTACTCTGTACTTCATGCTATGCTAAAATAAATCCACGTTAAAAATTCAACAATTCAGGGAGGTGAGCACTGTGTTCTGAAAATGTAATGGAGGGCTGGTAGAGTGGCTTAAGTGGTAGAACACATGCCTAGCAAGTATGAGGCCCTCAGTTTAAACTCCAGCACTGCCCTGTCCCCCAAAAAGCAATGTATATACTGACTTGTAGTCATTATGGTCCAACAGTATGGTTGATGGTTGTTAGGAGTCACCTTTCCTCATGTCTTCTATGAACTGTATTATAATTGGTCTCTTTAGACTCACCAAGAAGAACAACATTCTTCATAGTATTTTGTTTGTGTGTTTTGGCTGTACTGGGGATTCAGTCAAGGGCCTTGTATATGCTAGGCAAGTGCTCTACCACTGAGCTACATTCCCAACTCATCTTTACATTATTTCTTAAAATTAACAGGAATTTTGTTACAAATTTTTTGGCATACTTTGCATTTTTCTAGCATTTGTGATTATTTGGAAAAAAAGGTCAAAATCAAATCTGATGTAAGAAGTATCTGCAAAGGAAACACATACAAAATAAAATATAGGAAGGCAGACTACTAGTTATTCTCTTATTTTCCTTAATTTTTGAAAGAGTCAAAGAAAAATTAAGCTGAAGTTAAAAATGGTCTTTTTGTACCTTATAAATTTTGCATACTTACCTCACCACACTGAATTTGAGATTATAGTTGCCACCACTCTGAATGATAGGAGGGTAACACATTTCCACAGTAGAAGGGTCTGCCCCAGCTAGATATTTTTTCTCTTCAATAGCTTTTTCCACAGACTCAGCCAATTTGCTATGCCGAACTTTCTGTAAGAGTATCCAGAAATAAAGTAACACTAACTAAAGGGTGGCAAATTGAGGTGTTGGGGATTTGGATGCTATTATTCTAAAGTAAAATAATAGGTAAAGTAACCTCTGTAGATCACAGTGCACGTTTAGTTACTTTGAAAGAGAGATAGATGGCATAGCTACTACCGACATAATTGTTAAACTCTTACTTTCAAAGGAAGTTGAACACCCATCAAAAAACTTGCAGAGTAGGGAGTTGTAACTGCTTTATAAAACATGAAAAGATCCCCCTTTCCATTTACCTCATCTGCATCAACTATTTCCATGACTCTTTCCTTGAAGAATTTATTGAAGACCTCGGAGGTGATGCTAGCTGCTTTCTTCATCAGGTTGAGCTCCCCATCCTCCTTCACAGCGATGGTATATGCTACAACTGCACTGATATCTATCTGCAGTCAAAGACACAAATGCAAATACAGAATTGCTAAAGAAGTGTGTCTTTCCCAATCTGGGTATTATCAGGGATGCGATGTGGTTATTTACCAAACTTCATCAGTAGCTTGCAGAATGTTCAAACAGTATCTTCTAGAACTAAATGAAATTTAAAATAGCTCTCTGCCAGGTCATGGTGTGTACTAAGAGGCATTAAATTAATACACCACTTAAAATAAAAATTTCCCTCTAGAAGTTTTTATAAAGGCTGAAAAAGGAAGACATGCAGAAGGCAGGGAAAAAAGAAGCACAAAAATATTTTTGGATAAGAGACTTTTTTTTTTTAAGTGGTTCTGGGGTTTGAACTCAGGGCCTCATGCTTGATAGGCAGGTACCACACCACCTGAGCCACTCTACCAGTCCTGGACAAGAGATTTTTCTCACCTTCCAACTCGAAAGTGTCTGGACTACTTTTTGGCCAAAGGGGATAAAAAGCAGGTGAATGAATTCATAATTCTCCTGTGCTATACTTTTCTTCCCCACTCCTAGCACTCTTGCTGTTTTCCAGCAGTGCTCTTACTTTGTCAAAGCCCTCTTTGCTCAGGCAGTCATTCCAGCTCTTCATGAATTCTCCAGGGAACTTGTCTTTGCTGAACACACCAATCTTCTTGCCATTCTTGCTTTCTTTAATGGCTTCAATCATTTTGTCAAAGCTGCTCTTGTTACTTTCATTCTGTCAACGACACAGGGAAGAAAGCTAGTTTTAGACAGCCCAGAATAAATTCTTCCCTGAACCTTACACCTACTTCTATTTTTTTATTTTTATTTTTTCAGTACTGGGGTTTGAACTCAGGGCTTTCACTTTGAGCCACAGCACCAGCTCCCCAGCCCCCTCTCCGTTTTTTTTGGTGAAGGGTTTTTCAAGATAGGGTCTCAGGAACTACTTGGTTGGGCTGACTTCAAACCTTGATCCTCCTATTCTCTGCTTCCTAAGTAGTTAAGATCACAGGCGTGAGCCACTGTCACCCAGTTTTACCTACTTCTTTATGGCAGGTTATAACACACCAAAGGTCAACACAAAATTTCTTTTGGATATTTAATATACTTAAGTGAAAATGCCATCAATGGACAAGACTATTCTTTTTTTTCAGGAAAATCTAAGAAACTCAACATATAGGTGAACAAACTTTTGGTGTTTGTGTGTGTGTGTAAATCCCTATTTTAGGTGGGCAATGACAAAAAGAGATCACATTTAATAAAAACTGGAAATGAGGTGTATGTAAGTTCCTTTAAGGATGTGGAGGTTACCTGGTCTAATTTAAGTACTTACATGAAAATGAACTAACAGTGGCTGCAAGGATGGCCAGATAAAATTAGCATTCACCAGAACTCCACAGCCATTTGTTTTGCTGCAGAACTGATAATTACACAAACCTCTTTCATCCTAACCAACAATGAATATGTGACAAACTTTGCAATTACAACAGCCACCTGCAACTTGCCCTTGCATCTTTTAGATTCCTACAAGGCATTTCAGTTTTTGCTTTTAGAGGTACAAGTTTGAACTCAGAGCCTTGCACTTGCTAGGCAGGTGCTCTACCACTTGAGCCGCACCCCAGCCCCAGTCCACCACTTCTATACACTCTCACATTTATGGCACATTGCTCATTAGGCCTGACCTTTTCTCGTATTAGCAGAGTTATGGCAGGGGCTCCATTGGCATTCTCATTGCCTTTAGTGTTAGCAATCTGTTTCAAGAACTCTACTTTTTTCTTGCTGGCCATGAAGATGATTTTGTCATCACAGAAGACCATGATTGTATCCGTTAGTTCATAACCAAAGAGCCACGTCTATGAGAAAAGACAACAGTAACAGTATTTGCAGATCATACAGAAATATTTGTAAATACAAATCATTTGATAATTTATGTTTCTTTTTGTTTTTCTTTGATATCGAGGTTCAAACCTAGGGCCTGAAAATATAAGCAGGTGTGCTACTTCTGAGCTCACCCCAGCTCCTGGACAATGTGTGTTTGTAAAAACTGTATCACGATTTAGTACAACAGAAATGCATAAAAAAAGAGACGTACTAACACCTGCAGGAACTCTACCTCTTCAAAGATTGCTAACTGCCTGCCAATTATTATTCTTGCTTCTCTCTTAAAAAAACTCAGCAATAGTTGGGCATACTGCCTAGCAAGCGTCTACTTTCCATCCTTTCTGATAGGTAAAGGTTGACATTAAATTTTGGCTAATAAGCCATAAGCAGAGGTATTGTCATGGGATGTGAAGCAAGTCTTTAAAAAGTAAGGATGTCTACTTTCTTCCCCTTCTCAATATTTTTACTTGGAATACAAATGGCATGACTGGATTTCTAGCAGTCATTCTGTATCATGAGTACCACAGCCATCCTCTGCAGATGCCAGGACAGAGACCTTGAGAGAAGCCCTAGATCCCTGAAGACCATATTAAAAAACACGAATTTTGCTTAACCCAATGTTACTTAAGTTTTTCTGTTATATGCAATTAAATTGATTTTAATTTACACAATTCTTTTTTCCTTATGTTCTAAACCATGCTAAATTCAACTGAACTTTATATGATGATGGAAATATTCTATTATCTGCACTATCCAATATGGTAATCATTACTGAGTAACTAAATCATAGCTAGTGAGAATGGGGAATTGAACTTTTTTTTTTTTTGATGGTGCTGGGGATCAAATCCAGGACCTCCCAAATCCTAAGCACACATTCTACAGTGAGCTACATACACAGACCTAGAAATTAAAATTTTAATGTGGCTATAATACTGAACAGTGCTGTAGATGATTCAATGACATTTAAAGTTGAAAATTATTCTGTAAACCTCTCACCTGTAAGGCAGTTGATTTGGCATAAACAATCTCTTCATCAACACCCACTGATACAACAATGGCATCAACATTGGCATACTCATCTTCTCCTTTCTGAAAGCAATAGGTAATTCAGTTACTTCTTTTCATACTAGCAAAGTAGGGAATAGAGAGTCCAGTATCTACCCTGGATATGGATAACTTAACTTAATAACAGCTCCAAATTTAAGGTACATGTCTGCTTAGCAACTCACAACTATTAGTTACTTTATTTTTTAAACAGTCTTATTAAGATAAATTCACAGGTAGTAAGATTTACACATTTAAAGAACACAAAAGTAATAAACAGAATATTCAGTTAGCAGCCATCACCAACATCTAATTTTAGAACATTTTTCATCTCCCTGAAAGAAACCCTGTATTCATTAGCAGTCATTCTTCACTTCCTCTGCCTCCTCTTCAGGTTTAGGTAACCACAACTCTAACTTGGATTAGCTTCTATGGATTTGCCCATTCTATATTTCATATAATATGTAACCAAAATAGTCGGGGCACCAGCGGCTCACATCTGTAATCCTAGGTACTTGGGAGGCTGAAATCAGAAGAATCACGGTTTGAGGCCAGCTCAAGCAAATAGTTCATGAGACCCCCATCTCCAAAATAACCACGGCAAAATGGACTGGAAGTGTGGGTCAAGCTATAGAGTACCAGAGTTCAGGCCCCAGTCTCACCATTTAAAAAAAAAAAAAGAAGAAGAAGAAGAAGAAAGAAAAAAAAAAGTAAACATTGTATCTGACTTTTTTCAAGGTTCATCTGGTCATGAGAATCTACCCATACTTCTGTAAAATTTCACAGTTTAGCTGTAGTTCTTACATTCAGATGATCACTCACAATTATTTTTAGTGTATGGTATGAGCAATAAACCAACATTATTCTTTTTTTCTTTGCTGGTACCAGGGTCTGAACTGAGGGCTTTAGACTTGCTAGACAAGCGCTCTACTGCTTGAGCCACACCACCAGCCCCAACTTTATTCTTTTGCATGTCCTAACATCGCCTGTTGGAAATGTTTTCCCTCAATTAATTGTCTGGACACCCTTGTCAAAAATCAAATGACCATAAATGTGATGGTTTATTTCTGATCTCTCTATTCTAGTCCGTTGTACATATCTGTCATGCCAGAGTACTACCCTGTTTTGACTACTGTAGCTTTACATTAAATGTTGAGATCAACACATGTGACTCCTTCAACCATTATTTATCTTTAAAAAGTCCTATCATACCAAAAGACTGGTAATTCTGGCTTCCTGTATGAAATAATAATAATAATAATAATAATAAAAACCACGTAATACTCTGCCATTTTTATTTATTTATTTATTTTTTCTAGTACTGGGGTTTGAATTCAGGGCCTATAACTTGAGCCACTCCACTGGCACTTTTTTGTGATGGGTTTGATGAGACAGGGTCTCTTGAACTACTTTGCCTGGACTGGCTTTGAACTGCGATCCTCCTGATCTCTGCCTCTTGAGTAGCTAGGATTACAAGCATGAACCACTGGCATCCAGCTAGAAATGGACATTTCAATTTCTTTTTGGTGGTACTGGGGTTTGAATACAGGGCCTCAGGCTTGCTCAGGCTTGCTAGCCAGGTACTCTACCACTTGAGGTACTCCTTCAGTCTGATATTTTAAGCTCTAGCTGCCAGTAAGAATAAACTCAGGGTTCTGTTGTAGTTTTCTACTACAATGAAATTCATAATGCAAAACTAATTGCACACATTCCCCCACTGAGAAATGCTTATACTTTAAGGTGATAATAAGTTTTACCATTAGTTCTCATCAATGATACAAAAGCAATGGCAGAGCTGGAGGAGTGGCTCAAGTGGTAAGAGTGTCTGCCTAGCAAGCATGATACCCTGAGCTCAAACCCCAGTGCCACCAAAAACAAACAACAAAAGCAATAGCAGTTAAAACTGCTAATGTCTTAATCTGAATCAAAGGAGTGATATCAAAGTACTTCTTCACCATCACACACTTGCAGAAAGAAAAGCTAGTTAATTTGAAATATCCTGATGAAATAAAAACGATCAACATTATGAAATCCCAGCCTATTAGCATATGTCTTTTTAATATTCTGTGTAAACAAATGGGAATTACACACAAAGTACTTCTGTGTGCATATAAGTATGATGGTTCTCTCAAAGATGAGCATTTGCAGTTATTGGAGTAGCAAGTGGAAATCAACTGACTTTGGCTATCTGGTATACATTTTTTCAAAACTGAATGGAAGGAACCTGCCACTTAGATGGAGTAATAACTTGAGTATGAAAAGTTCACAGTTGTGGTTTCAGATTCCACATTATAATAACTTCTTTTCTTTTTTGGAAACAGGTCTTGCTGTGTATCCCAGGCAGGCCTCAAACTTGAGATTTTCCAGTCTTAGCCCCCCAGGTGCTGCCATGCCTGCAATCCTGGGACTGCTGGGCTGTGGCAGGAGGACTGGGTTCAAGGCCAGCCTGGACTACATAGTGACTTGTTTCAAAAATAAAACTAAAAATAAATAAATGAGAGGTGTGGCACAAGCAACAGAGCCTGCACCAAGTCAAAACCCAGTACTACCAAAAAATAAGATATATGTAAAGGGGTCCTGATATTAAAAAGTTTGAAGGGCTAGAGGTGCTGCTCAGTAAGAGTGTGTGCTCAGCATATACCAGGCCCTGGGTTCCATGCCAGCCCCACAAAAAAAAAAAAAAAGTAACATTTAGGACTAAGGTGTTAAAATTCCTATGACACATTAAATTAACACTAACTTTAGCACCAAACTGTCTCTCCTCCCCAAATTTTCATATTCAAAATTCTGGTCAAAGCCTGCAAATTCAAAATGTATCAGCAGTCCTCACACTGATGTTTTAGTCTTTATCTCTGTGCTCTCTTTATGATTAAGAGAACTGTACATATTAATGGGGTTCAGTGTGAAATCTCAACACAGGCATGGTGTGTGCACTGATCAAATCAAGGAACAGCACTCCCCTCTCCTCATCATTTCTTTACATTTAGAGCTTTCAACCTCTTCTCTTCAAACCTTCGTAGACCAGACTATTCTGGATGAGTCATTCCACTGTACTCTGGAACACCAGAACTTATTCCTTCTGTGTATAGATACCTGCTATTCAGCCTCCATTTATCCACACATCCCTACCTTTCCCAACCTCTAATATACTATTCTTCATTCAGCTTGCTTTAAAAAACAAAAAAACAAACAAACTTTCAGCTGGGCATTGGTGGCTCACACATGCAATCCTAGCTACCTGGGAGGCTGAGATCCTTAAGACCATGGTTCAAAGCCAGTCCTGGCAAATAGTTCACAAGACCCCATCTCTACAACAACCAGAGTAAAACGTATTGGAGATCTGACTTGAGTGAGTGGTAGAGTATCTGAGTTCAACCACAGTTCCAGCAAAAACCAAACCAAACAAATGAAAACCCAAACTTCCACGTGAAAGCATGCAGTTTCTTACTGTGTCTGGCTTATTTAACTTAGCATAATGTACACCAACTCCATGAAAGAATTTCATTTTATTTTTTGTTTTGTTATGATTCCCAGATTGGCCTCAATTTTGCAATCCTCCTGCCTCAGCTTCCCAAGTGGTATGGGTATATTACCACCACGCCTGACTCATTCTTCTTATGGCTGAATAATTTTCCATTGTGTACATATTTTCCTTATCCATTCACCCTTCCATGGGCAAGCCGGTTGATTCCATATCTTAGCTATTAAAAATAGTACCACAACAAACAAATGAGAGTGGAGAGAGTTCTTTGGTATGCTGCTTTTATTTTCTTTGGCTATCTACACATAGAAGGGGAATGGCTGGATCATAAGGTAGATCTATATTCAGTCTTTTGAGGAACCTCCATACTGTTCTTCATAATGGTTCTAACTAATTTACATTCCGCTAACAACGGAAGAGAGTTCCTTGTTCTCCACATCATTGCCAGTATTTGTTACATCTTGTTTTCTTGATATTATCAAGAAAGTCATTCTAACCAGGATAAGACACTATCTCAAGAGTTTTAATTTGCGATTTCCCTGATGACTGAGTTTTTAAAAGAAGTGTGAGAAGTAAAATCTAATTAAAATACACATGCTAAGTTTAAAATATCCATTTATTACAGACTATCAGGTTAAATTTTTTTTTCTATCATCTTTACCTTTTTCAGAAAACAGAAGCGCATACTTGCCAACTGGGTAAGGGCTCACCTGAAGCCAGATCACCTGGTTTTTAAACTTTGACTCTGACTTATTGCAACCTAGCCTTTCTACACTCCAGTTTCTTAGATCTTCATGTCTCTAAGTGTACTGAGCTCTTAGGAACTAAGAAACATACTCTTAACTATTTACTACTATTATTAAAGACCAAAATGACTCTTGACTAAAAATTTTACTGTGCTAATATACTACCACTGCTACTGATACCAACAATCAGCTATGGATACATTTCATCAGTACAGAATACAAATGGCACAACAGGCTTTGAAAAAGTGTACAATCCCAAAGGAGATAATTTTAGGTGGTATGTCTTCAAATATTCAACCACAGAGGAAAAATGTTATATAGTTTCGAATCTCTCTTTTCTTTTGGTGGGATTGAGGTTTGACTCAGCACTTCATCCTTGCAAAGCAGGTGCTGTCACATCTCCAGTCCATTTTGCTCTTACTATTTTTGAGACAGAGTGTCACGAACTATTCCTCAAACTACAATCCTCCCCATTTCAGCCTCCCAAATAGCCAGGTTTACAGGTGTTAGCCACTGGTGCCTGCACTAGGGATGCTTCTTTTTTAAAAGAGAAATACTGAGGCAAACCTTAATGCCAGGAAAAATTAAAAGCTGTGAAAAAGCAGTTTGCCTACCTTGCCTGAGACCCTGGGTTTGATCCCCAGCACAGGGGAAAAATTTATAGAAAAAGGAAAGGTAGTCATTATTGTACTGCCTCACCTAACAGTAGAAATATTTACACGAGAGCAACAAATTATTTTTCTAAAAATTGTGAAAAAAGAATTAAGGATGAACATGTGATAAAGCAAGTGTAATAAAATGTTAACTGTATTTCTAGTTGGTGGGAATAAAGTGTTCACTGCAAAATTTTTCCACTTTTTCTATTTGAACTTTTCATGACAATGTGCTAGAAAATATAAAGTATTGGGATGCAGAAATTGGAACAAATGCAACAGCATTAAGAAAACTAAATTAAATCCTAACCTACCATAAATTAATATCAAGAATTCACAAATCAAGAAATAGCAATATAAGATTATTATTTAGAAACATGAAAGAAAATGAATGTGGTCGTCTCTGGGGCAGGTGACTATTTTGTTTCAAAGTTTTTCTTAAAGTTTTGATTTTTTTGGGGGGGAGGGACATGGTACCCCACACCCAACATCAACCAACAAGCTGGCTGTGGTGACTAGAGCCAGTAATCCAAGCAACCTTCAAGGCATAGGTAGGAGGATCATGGTATGATGCCAGCCTCAGGCAAAAACTCAAGGCCCTATCTAAAAAATAACTGAGTTCAAATCCCAGTACGGGCAAAATGTGGGGGGGAAGTATATGTGTATGTACCTCTTGGTTAAAAGTAATCTTTAAATTAAGAGTTAATATTATAATACAGAAGTGAAGAAGTATGTAAAAATTGTGAAGGTAGGATCTGAAAGATAAAGTTAGGGAAATACTGAATTGGCAGAGAACAACTATCTTTCTTTGAACCAAATAGATACACTGCCTTTAAAAAGTAAACATTTTTTAGAAATCAGGTTATAGTTAGGATACCCACGTAATGATCTAAATGCAAACAATTGTGAGAAAAGGGTGTGCCAATAGTAATTACACAAAGACAGCAGATCAACAGCTCTGGAAAGGCAAGTCTTATGTTCACTGTAATTACAGCCTCAATAGAAATCTCTTTAAACCAACAGAGAGATGCCCGAAATCTTAGAAATAAGGCACCACTGTTTACTGGGCAGCTAATATATGCCAGGCATTACAATGATAATAAGGATACAAACATAGATACAAAATATAGACAATTAAACAAGTTGTATGCCTGTAATCCCCGAGGAGGAGGATAGTGAGTTCAAGGCCAGACTGGTTAACCTACCAAGAAACATAAGAACAGCCACAACAACTAACAGGGGTGGAAGCGATCTACTCCCTTGCTGAGAATAAAACAGAAACAGTATTTAGAAAAAACTTTCCAAAGACAGCTGTTTCTTAAGAGAACTCAGAACAAGAAAACAGTCCAGAATGACTATCAGGGAAGCAGCTCTCAAGGGAATTGACACTGTAATTTGATACAATCTTTCTTTGAGGTCACAGCCACCCACCATCCCAATCCTGACAGGAAAGAATTGTAGGAAGAAATACACTGGATTAGTATTTCTTCTGAAAACAGCTGCCATTCTGATTCTTCATGGGATTCTTCCTGATAAAAGGCAGATGGGGCAAAGGTCTGTATCTCTTACCCCTCAAAGGTGCTAAAACCTCAGTCGATAGGCAACCTTTCCTATCTTCCACTGAGTCACAAAAATCGTATTACAAGGCTAAAAATAAATCATTAACAGGCTAGACATCCCTGAATAAGGATCCAGTGAGTAAAAGAGGGGACAGGAAAAACTTGCAGCCTACCCCACCACCACTGGAATTTTAGCAGCTCTAACATACAAAAATAAAAGGTAGGAGTGCTCTAGATTCAAATGTTCAATAATTTAAATACTAAGTTCTACTCACTATGGAGGACTCCTGTTGATGTGGACAACAGAGATGGGATGTGTTGGAGATCCACCCCTGGACCTCAGGCATGCTAGGCAAGCACTCTTTATCAATGAACACCCTCAGTGAGCCTATTTTCTTTTCCTTTGTGTGTGTGGTACTGGGGTTTGAACTCAAGGCCTCACACTTGCTAAGCTGGCGCTCTACCACTGACGCCACTCCACCCACCCCTCCTCATCTACCACCTGAGTAGCTACAATTACAGACATGAACTACCAGCGCAGGCCAGACTGAAAACGTTTGAGGGGCAAAAAATATCTATTCTCAACATGAAAACTTGTTTCCTGTCATTATTCCCCAACAGTAACTACTATTTACACAGCATCTGCATTGTATTAGTATTTATACAGTAATCTACAGATGATTTAGAGTGGTAACCAAGGGATGACTATTTCAGGTAAAAGACTTAATGTTTTAGACATTTCTACTCAGTTGTGTGTGATACTGTGATACTGTGACTGTTTTTAGGACATAAGCTATGAAAACTGCAATTAAGAAATAATAAAAATATTTTTATTCGTAATAGCCTTAAAAACTTGAAACATCAATCACCAGGACTAGAAACAATACCAAAGGCACCTTTCAGCATTTATCAATGGAAGAGAGGGCTTTTGATTATTACCAGCACATCAAGATGTGCTGATCAATAGAAGATATTAGAAAGTTTTTTTACACATATCGTATCCAAATGTAAATATGTGACAGTGAGAGAGGATGAAAAGTCACTCAGAAGAAATTAACCAGAAAACTGTAAAACAAAATTGGAGAGTATTCTTACTTTGGCTTTTAATAAAATGAGTTTACTTTCAATTATTTACTGAATTTAGCCTCAAAAGATGAAACATGCACAGGCATGAATAGCAGAAAAATAATCAACTTTTATAGTTTGCTTTCAGAAGAGGATCAACTTAGATCACAGCTGTAATCCTTGCTACTCAGGAGGCAGAGATAAGGAGGATCGCAGTTCCAAGCCAGCCCGGGACAAAGTAGTTCCGAAAGACCCTATCTTGGAAAAAAAAAAACCATCACAAAAAAGGACTGGTGGAGTGGCTGAAGGTATAGACCCTGAGTTCAAACCCCAGGACCGCCAAAACAAACAAACAAAAAGAAGAGCATCAATTTGAAAGGTAATTCAGAATGCTGAAATCAAGACTTGATCATTTTTCTCAGAACGTTTTCGGATTTCTTGATCAGGTTTATCTTCTCTGGGTGACAGGGTTTAAGAGATTAAACAACTCAGGGTGCACCACAGAACGCAATCAAATCTTTGTTCAATTAACAAATTACTACTGTGAAAAGAAGTTTTAACTAAGCCCATTTTTAAAGCAGCAAAACTGCCCAATCTTTAAAAGACAAGGAAAATTCATAGCTTTTTCTCAACACGTGCCATGTATGCTATACCAACACGGGAAGCTCACAAGGTTTCAGGTATCACATCTTTTTAAAAAAGATAATTATTACTAATGCCTGCAGATTTTCGGAGCTAGGATTGTTACCTATGGAAGGGCCTAGAACATGCAACGATTGCGCGTGAGCATTAATCCCCTGCAAACGACACATTCGAAGAGCTCGCTCCTGAGCTGCCGGCCCCTCCAACCCTCCTGTACAGAGGTAGTTGTAGTTCTGGCGGGAACTGGGGCGGAATATTGTGATTCTGGAGGGGCAGAACGAGTGCGTGGGCGCGTGTGAACACCGCACCAGGCGGCAAGACGTGAGCGGCGAGAGGGAAGATGTTGCCTCTCATCGGCGGGAACAGCCTGCAAGACCGGGCTGGCATGCGGGGAAGATGGTGGTGGCCGCGGGGATGAGCAATTGAGGGGTATTCCCAAATACGGGGCGACACTCGTAGCTACCTGCGCTGAATGATTTGAGAGCAAAGAAAAGGGCGCGACACTGAACCCGGGAATTCCTGACCCAAACGGAGAAAAAGGGCGCCGAGAAACATGGTTATTATGGGATGGCTGAGGGGGCTCCCTAGGGAAAATTACGAATCTTCCTTACCCGCCAATTACTGTACAGTCTCTTAACTCGCCGATAATAAGCATCTTTGTCCAGAGTCACAGCCATAGCCCTGGGCACCGCTTCTCCTCGGGTTCCGAGAATCACGCGAGGTCCCAGCTCCGCCACCCGCTCTCGGCCCCGGAATCCCGCACTCTCTGTGACCCGGAAGTATCGACCTCAAACATGCCCTTTCCGCTTCCGGGTCCCGGCAGCGTTTGGGTTTTTTTTGTTTGTTTTTTAATTCTCTCTTCGTAGTGCGGAGGTGTGAAGGGGGGAAGCAGAGAGAAAGGGGGGGGGGGAAGGTGGAAAAATCAACAAAATATGTACTGCCTACAGTTGCTTTTCGCGCGGCTTCTCTTCAACTACGCCCCGCTGCGCGCGAGCCGATATCGTCACGTGACGCTCAGCCCGCGCCCTCTCAACCCCGCCGCGATTTCCAGGAGCGCCTTTTCACCGAGGCGGTGGTAGCAGGGCGAAGCGAGGAAGGTGGAGGCCTAACATGCCTGTCCCGCCCCGCTCTAGCTGCCGCGCGCGGGTGTGGGGGTTCCACCTCGTCGGAAGGGAAAGCGGGAAGAGCGGGACTTGGCGTGGGGTAGGAGGGGAAGACTGGAGCGGAACGGGTACGTCCCCCTCCTAGAAATGGTGGGGAAGCAAAACATCTACTGCACCGAAGCTGGAAGATCCTCCCACCTGCGTCAGTTGCTCCATGTGGACACAGCTCAGTTGGGGGGAAATCCAGCCCATCTTTGCGTTTAACAGGACCCAAGCTAAGGGGAGGGACCTCGCCTAGAAAGGAAGATAAAACGCCCAGGCTTCAGCTGAGCGATGGGTTGGTAGGAGGGTTGGAGGACACAAATAGGTTATGGCTTGAGGTGCTCCCAAGCCGTTCCTTTGTCATACAGTCCCATTACTGCACTGCATGGAAAGCGACACCATTCTATGGCCTCCCCCAAGTACCGTTATTTCAGTTAATTCAAAACACAATAAATATGTGGTTCTTGATGAAGTTCTTTTTGGTCTGTTCTAAAAACTTGGAGAGTCTGATTCGAACATTTTGCCTACTATTTACCTTAAGTCATTCCCTTAGCTTCAGCAAACTGGACAGTCTAAATTGATATATGGCTCTTCAGATGAGTACTTATGACTTGAATCTTCTACTCAAGGTAACTTAGTATCAACAGTAAAGTGATGCTGAAATTATTCGCCGTGGTTAAAATTAATACTTACGTTGGATTTGAGCAAGTATAGAACAAGGGAAGAGTGGAAAAGGATTAACTTAAATTTATTAATGCCAAGGGGAAGGAAGGTAACAGTTCCTGACTCTCCAGCTGTATCCACAGTTCGGCCAGGAACAGGCTCTGCCGGAGGCAAGGGCCAGCGCTACATAGTCTGTGGTTAATGGAGGTGTCTGGGGAGGGGTGAGCACACCAGCTGCTCTAATCTCCTTTCCTTCCCCAGAAATGAGGAAGTGATCACGTGGTATTTAAGGAGTTTCCCTGCCCCCCCCAATCCTCTCAAAATTAGGAGCAGTCAGGTACAAGTTTCCTTTTTTTTTTTTTTTTCTCCTTTCACCTCCTGGAGTCCTGGGTTTCCTCACATCTCCCCAGCCCCTCCCGCTTTTCCATAGTCCAAGGGCCAGAGTGAGTGAAAGTACAGCAGCCACCCAAGCAATGGGGACTACACTGGGGTTTCAGTCATCAGCATCTTCACTGGAGTCTGAATTGGCTGGCATCATAGGATCATCAATGAGTGAGAAGTCCCTTTCTGAGCTATCATAGCCCTGAGATAAATCATCATCTTCTTCATCCTCCTCATCGTCCTCCTCAGGTTGCAGTGGTGGTAACCGCAAGGCAGTACCAGAGGTGGTAGTCACTGGTGAAGAGGGGTAGCCAGTAGCTCTCAAGCCTGGATGGTGATGGTGATGGTGGGGGTGGGGGTGGGGGTGGTGGTGGTGGTGATGAAGCATGGTGCTGGAGTCTACATGAGGGGATGATGCTGCACCACCCACCACAAATGGCATAAAAGGCAAAGATGCAGAAGTGGCACTGCTGTGACCCAGAGGTGACACAGACTGTAAGCCACTACTGCTGTGTTGGAAGGTGTTATGCAGAGATAGGGACCCAGTGCCTCCACCCTGCATCAGGGCCATCATCTTTGAAAGGTCTGGTCGCGTCCTCCGGGCCCGCTTCTTGCTGCTCTCTGGTTCAATAGGCCCTGGCAAAACCCGGTTGAAGGCAGTTTCAGCATAGTGACCCTGGGAGGTGGGAACAGAAGATAATAAAAACAAAGTGGGGAAAAAGGAAACAAGCCAATAGAGCCCTAGACTACAAATGCCTTTTCAATGAATCTGCCTTAGGAGAGCCAAAAAAAGTAGCCTAGGCTTCATTGGTGATAATGGGAAGGAAGAACTACTAGACTTAGCATTCTGAAGCAAAAATCAATGATAATCTAGTGAACCAGGAGTTTTTGTTTGTCACATGACTGTATCACAATATAACCATTTCAATATGCTTACCTTTGTTAGTAAGATGTCTGAGTTAAGACAGTGAATCAATCAGAATACACACAGAAAAAAATTCAAGTGTTTACCGACGGCAGTTTATTCACATGCTCTTACCATGTGAAGTGCAGCGCAACTATATTGAAATTTGTAATAATATCCTCTATTGCCACATCAAAGCAGGGTCAAATTAAGACTTCTGGATCCAAAAAATACCAAAAAGAGGTGGGTAGCCTCTCATTGAATTTAGTAAAATAATTTTTCCACACTGATTAAAAACTTACATATCTGCTTAATTTTAAATGGTTTAGATGTTCTGGCTGTAAGTTCTGATTAATCATTAATGAATCATTAATTCATTGAGGATGGAAGTTATTACTTCTAGTTCCCCTGCTTTTCTACTGGCCTAAGCAAAATACTATGTGAACTGGCATTAAACTGGTGCCTATGTCTCTGGACTTTCCAATCTAGCCTGACAACTAACATGGGAACATACCCTTCTGACTTGGAAAAATAAAAATTTAATAATCTTACTTGTGTGGATTTAAAAAATATAACTATAGTAACACCTTAATTCCTGCAGGTCCCAGTAATGTGCTATAGTCACTGCCAATTTTACATTAGAATTAAGAATTGTGTGCTGGGCAAGGTGGAGCATGTCTGTAGTCCCAGCTACTGAGAAGGGTGAGGAAGCAGAATCAGAGCCTGTGAGTTTGGGGCTAGACTAAGCAACATATGTTTCTTAAAGAAAAGAAAACTTACTATTTATACTAGTCATAGTATGAATTTCTGTGATTTCCTATGCTCTTAAGAGTTATCAGCTCATTATAAAGGACCTGGGGAAAGTATCTGAGGCAAAAATATGTTAAATTAGAAGAAAAACTCTCATAGGCTGCTCTAGAATGTTAACTTTAAGACAGCGATGGCGGCAGCCTTTCCCATGTCAACTATTCTGCCTGTTACTATCCCATGGGGACTAAGAGTGAGAAAACATTCTACCATGGTTAAACTTTCATCAATATAGAGAAGATGAAATGGAGAATGATCAGATAAAGCAAGTATACAAAAGCATTAATACATTTTAAATGACTGCTACCAACCAAACCATGATTTATATATCCACTCCTGATTCCGGGTGCTGGTGGCTCACATCTGGAATCCTAGCTACTCAAGAAGGCAGAGATCAGGAGGATCGAGGTTTGAAGCCAGCCTAGGCAAACAGTTCCATGAGACCCTGTCTCGAAAAACCCCTTATAAAAATAGGGCTGGTGGAGTGGCTCAAGGTAAAGGCCCTGAGTTTAAGCCCCAGTACCACACACACACACACACACACACACACACACACAAAAGCATAGCCTAAAGAAACTTTGGGGAGGGGTGGGTACTAGGGTTTGAACTCCGGATGTGTGTGTGGGGGGTGATGGTATAGTACTGGGGTTTGAACTCAGGGCTCAGGCTTGCTAGGCAGGTGCTCTACCACTTGAGCTACTCTGCCAGCCCTGTTTTGTGCTGGATATTTTTGAGATAGGGTCTCAAGAACTATTTGCCTGAGCAGGCCTTGAACCTCAGTCTTCTTGATCTCTGCCTCAGTGCCTAGCTTAAAATAAACTTTTGTAGTTATACTTTGGTGGGAAGAAAAAAATGCATATTTAATCCACCAAATGATGTATATCGTGAACATGGTATAGTATAACCTAATGACCAAAACTGTTATTAATTGAAAAAGCATGGTTTCCTGTGCTTTTTTCCATTAATGACATGTTAGTGATTTTCCAGCTTTTATATTTTAGCAAACTCCAAGACTATTTTTCCTTGGTAGCCCTCCTACTCCCAAGCACTCCTAAAATATACAGAACTATAAAACTTTGAAGAGATTATCTAACTGGGGGTGTGGCTCAGTGGTACATCATTTGCATAGTATGCTTGAGTTCCCTAGTTCTGAAAAAGAGACTAGTTACACTAAAACTTTCAGTTTTTAGGATATGGAAATTGAAGAGGTTAAAGGATTTGCCAAAATGCCATAGTTATTCAGAAGAATAGGATAGGCCCTGAAGGTGCTTTCTAACATAGCTTATTAATGCTTACATTTTCATGTATTTCGAGTACTAAAGTTAACTTTGAAGAATTTTACACTCCTCTAGAGCTGAAGATACCACAGAGACTGCAAGAATACCATTAAAAATACTCTGGTGGGGTTGAGGATGTGGCTCAGTGGTACCGCACTTGCCTATCATGTGCAAGGCCCTGGGTTTGATTCCCCAGCACCACAAAAAAACACCAAACACAAAAATCTCTGGTGAAGGCTGGAGGCATGGCTGAAGTAGTAGAAGCAAACCCCATTACTGAAAAAGCAAAACAAAACCCTAGTGAACTGAAGGTAATTTTACTCAAGAACATACCATGGAGAAAAGATAACAGTCACAATCGTTGTTAAAGAGCCTTATAAAATGGTGGCTACTGTGAGAGAGTGATAGTGCTTTAGACTCACCTTTTTTCCATTCCTAGAGTTTATTGTCTGTACTGGATCCATTCCCAAACAGTTCAATTCTGCCTTATTATTTTTTTTACATCTTTGCCACTTCTGTTTTCTGCGCTCCTCCATATACTACAATAGAAAAGTGTCTGTTATCCTAGAATAAAAATCTTCTCTGGTCTAATAAGGTACTAGTGTCTTTTGACAATATGTTCATTGTGTAAAGATTAGTTCTAGTGGAAAACAGCAATAAAGTACATCTCTCACAAAGAACTAGGTGGTTTATATAATAGTCTAATAATAAATATTTTCATCCTCATTATTACCCGTTTTGCAGATGCAGAAATAATGACATAATAGGCATGCTTTCTCTCCCTCAAAAAGCTTAAATACAAGAGAATGACTTTAAATCTGGCTGGATGGAACTGCCACTCACCGCTAGAAATCGGGGATCGACAGCAAACTCTGGATGACCCTGTAACCACATCTCCAGTTCAGCCCGGCGAGGGGCATCCTCACCCACCAGCAAAGTACCATCCACCTTATTGATGACAGGGATCCGGGTCTCCAGGTCCACATCAAGGTGATTAGGCTCTTCCATGCACTCCACCTCCAGCTGCAAACCCAGAATCCACCCCCATGAGCACATATACTCTTCTTTAAAATAGGAGGGAAGGGGAGCAGAGCCAACGGTAGTCATGAGATAACTCAATCTTTCAGTCCCTCAATCCCAACTGCCTTTATCAGTTACTAGGGATAAAAAGACATTATCTAAACATGAGGTTAAAGAGTTTCTCTACCGCTTACCTCTATTAGCTTTTTTCTGTTCCCCTTCTTCTTATGAAACAGTGGATGTCCATCTCCCATTACTCCATTAGCCATCAATTTGTGCTTCTGGAATGTTAATTTTAATCCTTCCTCCTAGGAAGATAACCCAGCCACTGAAGACATCATCACATGTTTTTAAAAATAAACATTAAGCTCTGGAGAACTTGGGTGAGGATCATCCTCTGGCTCAGTGATGGCAAAAGGAAGGCTG